AACGTATACGTACGTCTAGAGGTCTAGAAGATTCCTATTATTAATTAAGAGAAGGATCTAGAATGTATAAGGAGGAATATATAAGGAACGGTCTCTCTATATATTTAGTTCTCTCTCTATCTAGTCTTTACTTTAAGAATTATACTATATTCTTATTATCTTTAAGCTATACTCCGCCGATCCGTTTATTATATAATAGTCTATTACGGCTAGATCCTATTATATAACTCTATTTAGATATATATTCCTTATATAAGGAATATTATATATCTATTTATACCTGCCCTTTTCACAGTTAGATCGGTGTTAGGACCAGGAACTGTGATGTGCATAACAAATTGGATAGAAAATATCTAAAGAATGGCTCTTTTTCAAGGCTTGTATGAGTCTATCGTAAGATATCCAAAAAAGGGTTTTGAAGCTCTCGGGAAACTCATTGACCGCCATCGATTATTGCTAAGAGATACTATTATCCCGAAGCCAAATGAGCTCTTCTAATGTAAGAACAACCTTATCTCATGTCAGACTACAAAGATACAACCCAATAAATCTCTGGGAAGAAATGTGAGTATGAATATGACCTGGTACATTAGAGAGGCGAGAGCTTAGATCGGCCTAAGCTGTATAGATGTTATGTAATGGATAAAAGCCCTCTCGTAGAAGTTTATGTTCTAATTATACCTCGCTTGCGGAGATACATTGTTTGCTGCATATGTGCTCACATCCCGTCCTTGACTTCCGATATCATCCACTCAGCGTATCGTCTCCGGGCAGACACCATATTCCCGACTCGCAAGACATGAAACACTCTTTGCAGCTGTATGAGAGTCATGAGTATCACCGCTTTGGCACACATGACTCTGCACATGATGATACGACCGTGTTCGTGGGTAACACGAACCCGATGAATCAGTCACAACAGTCGTTCTGACAGTAAGATAGTGGAACAATGCGTGCTTCGTCACATGTTACGAGAATGGTCTACGTACGGATGTCATGCTACTAGGAGATGAATTATAACTTATTATCACAAGCTGAAGCGATTGGGTTTGCGGATTGAAACATGGCTTAAACGTTGATAAAACGTCTTGCTGTGAGCATCGCGAGCACGTCGCATCTTGGGTGCCTACCCGGATTATGACACGATGCTCTATGTATCATATAGTATCCATTGCAATTTTACAAAGTGGCAGTCCGCAAAATCTCGGATAGTGACATAGTTTTGCATAATTTTCAGCCGTTATCTTGGCCTAACCCAGATAGGCGGACATGACTACACCGTACAATTGTCGAGAAATTCACAAATCTGTATCTACTACTCGTGGGGACTTGGATCTGTACGTAACGATTCGATGCCTGTATGAGATATTTCAGATGTGTCTCGTCGATCGGCGTGGGAATAGAATGATGAGACAATAGCGAAGGACACAAAGACTCAAGAGGCTCTCATTGGAGCACTTCATGAGCACATTAGAGTCATGCAATCAGTTCTGATGTACGCCCACACTAGTATCTATACCATGGTAGGTGCGTGATAATGTGGTTCTGGCCCCAGCACTTATTTGGTCAAACAAACTAACCTGAGGGAAAGAAAAGGTATAAAACCCATGCATATACTGTACACAAAGGCATAGGTAAATCTACGGTCTACTTCTTTCGACCACTAAATAAGCGATCTGATACACGACATAATTAATACCTTTCGACATGAAGACAGTATTGCTACTTCTTTCAATCGCGTTAAGCGTAGCTGCCGCCCCGGTTGATGCATGTGAGTGTTACCAGTAAAATCAATCCAAGTCCATCTCGGTATGCTAATTATTCTCATAGCTCACGAGCTTGTTGCGAGACAAGGAAACAGTGGCGTTCGACCTCGACCATGGCGCCTGCTTGAGGCTAAAGACATTGTCGCAAGACAAACAGTGGAATTCGACCTCGGCCTTTAGCAGACAGAGAAAATAAAACCTCGTTAGATGGCGCATAAGGCTGTCAGTCGACACGGTTGGGACTTATGATGGTGCGAAGAAGCAAAGATATTGTACATCGCTGCGAACGTTCATTGGGTTTACCACTTTTGCGCGGAGACATCAAAGAGTACTGGATACCAGATAGATCATCTATACACAGAGTAGAGAGCTTGGATAGCAAAATACTCTGGTTTCGACTATAACGATCTCATTTCAGTCTTTATTGGTCAGAGCCTCGATCGATATGATAATCCTAGATATCGGGTGATGTCGTCATGTAGTGGTAAGTGTGGGAATGAAAGAGTGGTCAGCAGGCTATCAAATCCTCTTCCAGAATGCTACAAGGCTAGCACAATGTGAAACGATGCATTACTCACATGAACAACTCGTGTTCAAGGATCATCCCATAACTCCAGCCCTGCGACGGCGATAAGGTCACTGTGACCGCTCCATTGGTGCTTCCGAAAAAACACAGTTACGGCAAGGGGCTTTCTCTTTACATGAAACGCAGCATCTCTTTCCAGCGAGCATTAGGTATTGTTTGCTTTTATTAATAAATGTCGGGTGATCGGATCGGGATACTTGGGAGATGGTCGGAGTTGAACCGCGTGGCGTGGGCATCCATCCGGATCCTTCCCGCTACCACTGCAGCCTCCATTTGGGTTCATACATCCATGCACGGCCTAAAATCACACACTTGGCTCGAGCTTCCAATAACGTGGCTCCTGGGTGTCACTCTGGTAACAATGCATACTGTAGCAACCCGATTTGATGCACGTGGACCTGCACACTGTCTCGCGAATTTACGGGTGACAGAAGATACTGGAGATGGACATATCGATCAAGCCGTCATTTCAGATCTATACAGTGACCGATATGGCGTGAGAGCGACGTCAAGACATGGATAAAAGCAGTATAGAGGAAGACGAATGTCGTTGTGTACCATGTATGCTATGACTCAGGGATCAAAATGCCAAGCAACCGCACCTGTTTTCGTGCCTTCCTTTGGTAAAAATTTTACAAGCTGCCCATAGCGGATGATATCTTTACTGAAGACCTGATGCATAATATTGCGCACTCCTACCAGGGGAAACACATACTGATCGATCATGTATGAGAGCCATGATGGCCATGTGGTTCCATCGACGGCTTTGGTGGTGAGATCTATCGCATTCCTAGAGGGTTTCTCTACTTGCGCCCGGTACGTTTCGAAAACGTTCGTGAGAGACGATGTTGGCGGCGAGCTGCCTTCGCGATCAATCAGTTCTTCGAGACCGTTGATCAGGGAAACAACATGCATTGCTCCGATATTAAACCCCATGCCAGCGAAGGACTCCATACTGGTGACAGAGTCTCCAGCCATGACGATGCGGTCGTGGTACCATAGATCCGAAAAGCCGGTTTCTTGGTCAGTCAAGATTGACCATTGGGACTTTTTCCATATCTCGCCAAAAGTCACGTCTGCGAAGATAGGTTTGTCTCTCCAGGCGTCTACGAACTCCTGCTTCTCCTCCTCTGTATAGTGTTTTCGCTCAATTCTAGCTTTGGGTAGGCGCCTAGCAAGCACAAAGATCACTGTCTCTGCATTGGCACATGATTGGGCACCTAAAGGGCTCGACCTTGCTTCATAAAGAGTGCCTATCTCGCCTCGACCAGGATAAGGAGCATAGCCATACAATGTTTGGATATGTCGAGTGGTGGAGAGACCTTGTGTTTGGAGGCCGTTCTCTTGAGCTAACTTCTGCGCAGTCCTCAATGTATGGCTGTAGGTACCATCGCAGCCTAAAACAATAGAACCATTTTCGACGGAGCCATCATTAAGGAACACACGCACGCCATTGGCGCCTGTCTTAATGTCGGAAATATTTGAGTTCAGTCGTATCGTTTCTCCGTGATTCTGAAGAGAATCACGTAAAAATCCGACTAATGCCTTCCGAGGCAGGTAGAGGCACGGGTAGCCATGGCTGCATATATCAGTCAATGATTATACAAAAAGGGTGAAGATCAAGGGCAACTGACTTATTCATCCAGAGTGATCCAACCTCGGTGCGTCTACATGTTTTTCCACCTATCATACGATCTTCTTTGAACTCCATAGGAGTCGACAGGGCTATCAACTGCTCTAGAAAACCAAGCTGCTCAATAACACGCAACGTACTCCCTTGCAAAAAGATACACGCACCGCCTTCTGCGGCAACCGTTGAACTTTTCTCAAGAATGACATACTTGATTTTGGCCGCAGTAAGGAGGTGAGCAGCTAGGAGTCCAACAGGTCCTCCGCCGTTAATAATGACACGAAAGTCGGTGTGCGACATATTGGTCCTGGTAGAGTGTGATATGATATCAAAAGGCACGGGGAGTTGTACGAGAAGAGTTTGTGAGTGCCGTTCTACACGAACCCGATCGCTCTTTGATGCGACTCGAGCACGTCACGCTAAGTCGCGAGTTATGGTTCGATATATTTATAGATCCTTGGTATCTATACAGCACGCCATTAGATCTTCGAACGACCAACGCATACAAGCTTGCACTAGTTGTATGAAGGATCATAGCTTTCTGTTCCCAAGGTTCTCCTAAGATGGCAAGAAAGGAAGAACTGATGGTTCAACGCTACCCGGCACGTGGCTCCTATCCAAGCGTCATCCTTCCCGCTTATCGTCCGTCTCACGCTAGACATACTTCTGTATGGTAATACGGCCGAATGACAGCCCCAGACATCTGTGCGTTCGATGGAGTGTCACTAAGCGGCCCCCAGTCGCCCTGCCGGGTGGGATGAATCTGGGCGTAACACTCTATGAATAAGGACCGTAGAGTGCCAAGACATTGTAATTGGTCATTGTATAGACTTCCAAGCAACAACCGGAGGACATGGAGTGTGGGGGACCCTGTCTGTTCCGTACATAGGACAGTCGTGCCGTCGAACTGACCCACCTGCAACACATCATAGCTACAGCCAACAGCGAGCAGTGCACGACATTCCATCCGATTAGGTCGACGACTCGACATGCACGGTTGGGGGGACGGGGGAACAATCGTTGGATTTTGGTAGCTGCGTAAGTTATACGATGGCTCAGAAACGTGACTTGGTGGTTGATGTAATGATTGTAATTCAACTCTAGACGACAATACATGTACCCGAACACGAGAGAAGATAATTCATCTGGATATAATGTTGTATACATTCAAGCTTAAAATCATAATCATAGTCAAAATGCCTCTTTGATGCCCCAAACAATATGGTGTTACAATGTTCTCAATTCCAATACTTAACAGGCTCAGCCGGCTGAGCTAGATCAGCTGTCATTGAGATCTCAGTCTGCTTGATGATACCATCGTCCGGACGACACGGTCCGAGCTCCACGTCTTCATGCTCTGAAGGAGATCTCAACTTCCGTTCAGCTTCGTCCATTCGTCGGTATGACAATGCACCATTCCCTGATACAGTGGACGATGAGAATTTCGACCCTTTACCATAAGCATAAGTGCGACTCTTTAGACTTGTAAAGAAAGATGTCTTCATGATCGTTGCCTGGAAGAATCGCGGAAAGGTAGGCAAGCAGGCGCAAATCATCGTTGCGGTCACTTCGGCCACAGCCCAAAGTCCGAATTTGAGTCCAACGCGGGAGATATCAGGCGATATGTTCAGTTGTACAGTGTAGTATATCCTCACTGCAGAGCATCCACAGACACTAGTATAGGTTAGCATTTCTTGTTTGTCTGCTCGATGGTTCCGTGACTTACAAAGCTGCAGTCATGAAAATCAGTGCGATCTGCAGACGTTTTTGCCACGGCATCCGGAGCTTCCAAATGGCATATTGAGGAATGAGGATAATGACGATATCGCTCACAATGTTGAAAATGGCACACGTCAAGTAGATTGCGTTCTGATCAGCGCATTCGCCACGAAGGAAGGGTTCCCAGGCTTTCTCTCGTGGATTGCACTGGAAGATGACAACAAACACATTTACCAAATAGTACAGAAGCACAAAAATACCAAAACTCCATGTGGACCACCACATGAAGTCGGACTTTTTGGTAGGCGCAAATATGGTGCGCAACTGGACACAAATTGAAAGTTTGACCAGCGCGAGCGTAGCGGAGTATGTGCCTGCCGCATATTGGAAATACTGCATTATCTTAACACAAACCTGAATGATTCGATGCCTGTTTCGCATACCTTTCCAATGAGTATCATATTCTTTAGTTGGACATTCCATTGGTGTCGCCCTGCACCATGAAAAGCGAATGCGCAACTGAAAGCGTTCATAAGGATGAAAGTTGACCATCCGAGAAGTAGAATCCCTTCGAGTATCAGTTCTACGACCATACACCTGGTAGCCTAGACACCACTTACAGTCATCCCAGGTCGCTCTTCTTATGATGGCCAGCTTGGTATATATGCGCGCAAATACCAGGAATGTAGCGATCACGATACAGACAATCGTTGTCCCAACAAACACCTCAGTGAGGTCTGGCGGATTAACAAAGTTTGGTACCACGCCTGGAGGAGGCGCCAACGCCGGACCTTCCAGCATGCCTGGAGGCAGAGTTTGTCTGCGAAATATGATATTGGAAGAAAACATTTTTCTCTGGAGGAGGCAAACTGAACTGCTAGCTGTTAGGAGTGAATAGTTGATGGCTATAAGGCTGCTCGTTAGTCCTTCCAGTTACCAGATCTGTCAAAATAGTAACAGCCTTAAGATTTACATTGCATGAGCAGACATGGTTGTGTGCATAGTTGCGTTTCACCACGGGCCTCAATAACAATGATGAGTAGACAAGGTACCGAGGGATAGTCGCTTTCGGCAGCCTGCCAATGCCATTGATTGGATGAAGTCTGCCGGACCTGATGGCATACCATGTGCTCAGCGTATGAAGGTCCAGGATTACTGCAGCAGAAACAACTTGATGCATCCGGGACTTCAGGTTGCAGGTACAAGCACTTGAGCAACAAGCAAGGTTGTTGTCGAGTCGTGGATAGTTAGTCCAATATAGCACGCTTAATGTGGCTTAGCGCCGTGTTGTGCGCGTCTTGCTGCGTCTCCCTGCGTCTAGCGACGGGCTAACCCGAATTGGAAGCCACGCCGGCTCGGCGAGCCCCTCGTAGATAATGTAAAACGGCTTGTCAAACAACCTTCCTCAAACCTTCCAGACGTCTCTCCGACCTTTTCCGTTCACTACCAGTGTTTCATACGGCACTTACTGCACGGCATCACAGTTACACGCTCTGCTGTGGTGAATACTAATGTCCGGGTTCAGTTTCTACCTGTCTTACGCCCTAAATCGACATCAACTACGAATTGATCCCTACCACCATGCATCATTGTCCTTGCACTGACCGCCAGAAGTCCTCAGAGCCGTAGTGGGTCTTAGCTTGCTCGCATATTTGACTTCTCCACAGATGCGAGCATCCTTTCGATAACGTGGACCGTGCCATTGAAAGCGACACTATCCCTGCCACCAGGAATCTCATGACCCCCATCATGAGCAAAGACATGGCGCTTGCTCGCCTTACACATTTGGGCTAGCTGAGGTGCTAACTCTGGCTCTTCATCCCTCGCCCCCCAAATGTGGGCTGTGTAGAGCTGAATATCTGTATCGGCGGTCGCCTGCTGGTCGGGTATGTCCACGAACGGTGGTCGTCCACAGAAGAAGATGGCACATTTGAATGGCGCCGTGCCGTTTTGTCGATTCTGCTTGGCAATCATAAACGCCGATGCAAGAGAGGTACCCTGAGAGAAAGCCATTACACCGTCAAATGGCCCCTCGTCTGCAACGTAACTTCCTAGATCAGTCACGGCCTTGCTAAAGGAGATAGGATCGGATGGCTTGTAGTAGACGAAATGCTCATCGGCCGGGTTGGACAACTTCTCAATGGCTTGTCTCTCAGTCATAATATGGTTTTAATCAACTGTAAGGGCTCTTACCTCGGTGCATAGGTGCTTGCACAACCCCTTGAACGAAATGATAACTATGTCCCGGCCCAAGTTCATGCCGCAAAGCAGCTTCAGAGCGTCAGTCCTTGTTTCCAAAGCCTTGTGATCAGACCTACCAGTCTGGCTTTCGAAGATCTACAATCTTCAACGTCAGCTCCGCTCAAGCCGGAGTTCTGGAGCTCTTACCTTGCTGGATGTACCTGCACCATGCAGGCAAAGAAACCGCATATCGTTCCAGTGGCTTGTCAATTCGGAAAGACTGAATTAGTCAAAGTGCATAATGAGTACTTCAATCCGTACTAATCGCTGCGGCCCCATGTTTATACCCATTCAACCGGCAGGAGCCGGACTATCAACGGACCTATCACGGACTATCAAGGTGTCAATGCCTGACATCACAACTGGCAAGCACTTCTTGGAACGGTTCCATTTTTGTTGACAGGGATCATGACGGAATCAGAATTACCAATTTAACCTTAATCGGTAACAAGGTGCTATCATCTATCGACAAACTAGCCAAGTTGAAGCTCGCCCAAGTGGTTTCATCAGATCTATTCCCAGGAAAGTCTCCTTCAAGTTCCTCTCTGAACTCTTATCCTTATGCGCTTCAGATTCACTTCTCTACTTTGTTAGAATCGGCATATCAATTATTTCACGCAATCGACCCGTGGATTTGGGAGTGTTCAATATTCACTCTCTTGGCCAAGACCAGGTGTCCTTGTCTACTGGTCAGTGGTCAGTGGCGCACTGCGTTCGCATCTTTCAGCTCTCGTCATGTCACCGGGCCGACTATTGGGGCATGATGACCGTGTTGAGGATGAAGCTTTCGATGAGGACGTAGATTTCCTGGAGCCTATCGCCATTATCGGATTCTCTTTGAGGTTTCCTCAAGTAGGATCTTCTGCCGAAAAGTTCTGGGAGCTTTTGAAGACGAGGCAAGATGCCATGACAGCCACTCCCCCAAGTCGATTCAATGTGGATGCTTTCTATCACCCGACGAAAAAAGACGCACTGAATGTAAAGGGTGCAAACTACATTCCCGAAGATGAACCCCTGGATGCCTTCGACAACGGTTTCTTCGGGATATCCCCGGCTGAGAGCCATGCAATCGACCCAGCACAACGGATCCTACTTGAGACCTCTTACCGTGCATTTGAGAATGCAGGTCTACGAATGGAGGATCTTAGGGGCACAAGAACCTCCGTGCACACGGGATGCTTTTCGAGTGACTACTTTACCATGATGATGAGGGATTCTGATTACCTACCCACGTATGGGGCACTTGGGGTCTCGCTCTCTATGCTGGCGAGTAGAATCAGTTGGTTCTATGACCTTCGTGGCCCATCTGTCAACCTAGACTCTGCATGTTCTAGTAGCGCTATGGCCATCGATATGGCTTGCCAAGGACTGAGGACAGGCGAATCAACACTAGCAGTCGTTGCTGGTTCGAGTCTTCTTTTCGATCCCGACTATTCGCATATCCTGGATCACATGCATATGCTCTCCCCCGATGGGAAGTCGTTGTCCTTTGATGAGAAGGCCAATGGATATTCACGTGGAGAAGGTGTGGCTGTGTTACTACTGAAACCTGTATCACAGGCTGTTCGGGATAATGATACAATTAGGGCTATCTTCCGTGCAACTGGATCAAATCAGGATGGTCGAACTCCAGGAATCACACAGCCTAGCAGTACTGCTCAAGCTGAGCTCATCCGTCGAACATATCGCAATGCTGGACTTTCTCTGAAGCACACCAGATATTTCGAGGCACATGGTGAGAGATATTATGCCTCTGATATTGTTGACTTGCTGATTCATGATTCTGTGTAGGAACCGGAACTCCAGTCGGAGATCCAATCGAAGCTAAAGCTATCAAGTCAGTTTTCCAATGGGACAGAGATACTACAGATCCTCTCTATATTGGATCTGCGAAGTCCCACATAGGTCACCTCGAAGGTGCTGCCGGAATAGCTGGGGTGATCAAAGCTATCATGATTCTGGAAAGCGGTGTCATTACACCGATAGCCAATCTCATTAATGTCAACAAAAAGATCGACCAGATTGATTCTTGTCTTGCATTTCCCAAAGCATGTGTTCCGTGGCCCCAAAATACAGAAATCAGGAGAGCGAGTGTTAATTCTTTCGGCTATGGAGGCAGTAACACTCACCTGGTACTTGACGATGCGCAGAGCTATCTTCTCCGAAATGGTCTTTATGCTCATCATAACACATACCCTCTTGTCACGGCATCTGAGATGAATGATTGGAATGAGGTCTCAAATCATTATTCAGACTTGCGCCATGACAAGGGCAATCAACCAATGGTCTTATTATTTTCTGCACATGAATCTTCAGCACTTCAATCCATGATAGTGGACTGGCAAGAGTACAGCAAAAAAAGGAGAGGACCAGATCAGCATCCAGTGTCTATTCGAGACTTGGCATATACTTTGGACACACGACGTAGCCGACTATCATGGTCTGCCGCCATATGTGCCACAAGCCTGGAGGATTTGGTTACGGTCGATCCCAGATCAGTGACACGCATACAGAAAAAGTCTGACACCCCTCGACTCGCCTTCATCTTCACAGGCCAAGGTGCTCAATGGTGTGCGATGGGCCGTGAACTTTTTGAGTATCCAATGTTTGCAAGGTTTATCGATGAGGCTGATAAACATTTGCGAGCCCTTGGAAATGTTTGGTCCGTAAGAGAAGAGCTATGGAGATCACCGGATGAAAGCCGCGTTGACCAGCCCGAGATTGCTCAGCCACTCACTTGCATTTTGCAAATCGGGCTTGTTGACCTCCTCTATGAAGCGAATGTCCGGGCGATGGCAGTAGTCGGCCACTCTATGGGAGAGATAGCGGCGGCATACTGTAGCGGTGCTATATCTAAGGCATCTGCTTTGCGACTTTGCTATTACAGAGGTCTTTACGTATCCAAAGTCCAAGAAAGGAGCACTATGAAAGGAGGAATGCTAGCCGTAGGAATAGGGGAGAGCACACTCGAGCCCTACATGAAACGACTGCGCTGCAAAATTCCAGACTTCAACATCGCCATCTCTTGCTTCAATAGTCCGAAAAACCTGACTTTGTCCGGCCCACTCGACCAACTGAACATGCTTCGCGTAGAACTTCAATCTCATGGAGTATTTGCCAGAGCTGTACGCGTCAGTGCTGCTTATCACTCGCCGCAGTTGGAATGTATCGTAAAGGATTGTTTAGCCCAATTTGAAGGCCTGAAACCGGGAACGAGGTATGACATACCCATGATCTCAACCGTCACTGGATTGAGGGTCTCTCATAATCAGTTACGGGACCCTTCACATTGGACCACGAATATGATTCAACCAGTAGAGTTTACCGCGGCTCTTACCACGCTTTGTCTACAAGGCCCAAAGAGCTTGACGCCGAAGATAGACGGTAGTCATCATCGGGCCGTTGTCGTAGACCATCTGATCGAAATCGGCCCACATGCCGCGCTTAGCCTCCCGGTTCGTGAGATACTGGAGACGCTTCCACGGCAAAAAGATCTTCAGTATAGCTCAGTACTCTATCGCAATCAGTCTGCAAGCAAGTGCCTTCTTCAGCTGGCAGGAAAATTAGCCTGCGAAGGCTTTCCAGTGGATCTAAGATTCCTGAACGAGCTAGGAGAGGACAATCTGGATCAACCTAAGGTTCTCCCTGACGGACCTCAATACAAGTTTGACCACTCCCAGTCATTTTGGCATGAAAGTGAAGTCTCCCGGAACCACAGACTTCGCTCGCACAAACATATTCCGCTCTTAGGGAAGAGGTCACGGGAATGGAACCCTCTCCAACCGCAGTGGAGGTGTAGGCTCAGAGTGGCAGAATTGGCATGGGTATTGGATCATAGGATCAGTTCACAGACTATGCTTCCCGCTTCAGCGATGGTATCAATGGCAATCTCAGCTGTTACACAACTCACAGACGATGTTGAACACAAGTCTGCATTTGTTGTGCGAAATATGCACATCAAATATCCCGTGATATTTTCAAAAGACACAGATGACATAGAGCTGAGACTGTCGATGTATCCGATCGACACACAGCAAAGAAAGAAGCCATGCGCTTGGAGATTTTCAGTGTTTTGTCGACAACAAAACCACTGGACCGAATGTTCTGATGGCTCTGTGAGCGTCGAGTACGACCATGGAAGGCAAGCTGAGGCTGAGATTGGGTGTCACTATAAGCGGCGCCGTATTGCCCATGAGGCCTTATGTGCGCAAGATGTGCTACCCAAGGACCTTTACGAGTCTTGGCAAAGTCAAGGATACCACTATGGGCCTAGCTTCCAAGGAATTACTAGTGCAAAATTCAACGGAGACCGAACTGCCACTGCTATCATTGACATACCTGAGGCACTGGCTATGGACGAGGACTTCGCAGATTATCTCTTACACCCCGCAAGCCTCGACACTGTGATGCATATGGGTCTTGTTGCTCTAACATATGGAGCAACGCGCAATATCCCTAGCCAGGTTCCGGCTTATATTGATAGCTTATGGATCTCTGCGGCTCCTAAGTTACAGACCATAAAGCTTGAGGCTTCAGCTGAAGTATTGTCACAAAATGATCAAAGCAGTGTGACCGATATATTTGCACTGGATCATCTTGACTCGTCGTTGCATGTTGTAGTTAAAGGAATCACTACTAAGACTGTCGCAGGTTTTGACTCCAATATTTTGTCAAAAAGTCTTCAAAAGGGTTGCTTCTACCACGTGGACTCATTCTTGGACATAGAGAAGATGCCGCCTCATCAGCTTCAAAAGTTTCTTCAGCCTCCAGCCGGAGAAGAAGATATGGCAATCGACTTCTGGGAAGCTGTCCGAGAATATGTGGAATACATTTTGAAAGGATTTCGACATCACAAGATCTCCAGCCGATTGAGCAAGCAGCAGCCTCATCTCGCTCGCTACTTAAAATGGGTCAATTGGGTACTTCGAGACACTGATGCTCGATCCAGCCCAAGTAAGATTAGCATTGAAGAATGCAGATCTCGACTGGAGTCACAAGGGCCACTTGGTTTATTATATCTAGAGGCTGGGCAGAAGTTGTCGCACATTCTGAACGGAGGCACGAACCTATTGGATCCACGTTCCAACTTCAAAGAAAATCCAGCAGGAATTTATCACAAGGAGATGTCGTTAAACTCGACTTACATGGAGAGAGCATCAAGATATATCCGCTTTCTGGCCCTGAAGAACCCTGATATCAAAATCCTGGACATAGGCGATGGTACCCGGTCTTTCACTCATCATATCGAACATGCCCTATGGGATGATGCTGTAGGAGTGGACTTATTCTCTGACTACGTCTATGCGGACATATCATTGGTCTCGCTACAGCGAGCTCAAGCCCGATTGGGTCCAAATCATCCGAAAATGATCTTTAAGACGCTAGACATTGAGCAAGATCCTATATATCAGGGATTCGACAAGTCTAGCTTCGACATAATTGTAGCGTCGAACGTGCTTCATGCAACGAGTAGCCTCATCACAACAATGCAACGAGTGCGCAAGCTTTTAAAACCAGGTGGACAATTGATACTTCATGAAATAACACAGCCAACGAGGATCGAGCCAGGTTTCATCCTTGGGCTGACCAATGGTTGGTGGCGCGCAGAGACAGACGGGTGCCGTATGAGTCGGCTACTTTCCGAAGAACAGTGGTCCGATCTGTTCCAATCAAGCGGCTTTGCAGGTCCGCACCTTGTTCTGCACGACTTCGAGAATCCAGTGATCCAGTTCAACAGTATATTCTGTGCGACTACTGTTGCGGATCCAGATATAGATCCAGTTGCTCTGCAAATACCCCATCAACCTTCTGTAACACTTGTTACCTCGGGATCGCACATGGAATTAAAGTTGGGTAAACGGATTCAGGAAGAATACTCTGACTTCGATTATCGCCCTGTCTGTATCTCAACTCTGGAAGAAGTTTCTGAATCGGAAGGAGCGTCGAACGAGCAACTCGTCTTCCTAATAGACATATACGAGCCATTCTTGCGGACTATGACAGCAGTGAAGTTTGACCTACTGAGAAACGTCTTCCGCCGCGCTAAACACGTCATTTGGGTATCATCCGGTGGAGGGACCGCCTCGGATCCAAATTACGGCATGATCGATGGATTTGTTAAGGTGCTAAGGATTGAGATGAACGTTACCGTTTCGACCTTGACACTGGAATGTAGTAAACGAAGCATTGAAGACCAAGCGAGGCACGTGTGCCAAATAGTTCATGCGCACGGGTCCTGCTCTCCAGGGGTTCAAGAAGAATACTGCATCGTTGATGATAATATTCATATTCGACGTATAACCGAAGCTTCACCTATTTCGGGCCAGATGTCAGCTATCGCCAACGGGACAGAATTGAAAACGCAAGACACGATCTCGGCAAGACCTTTTGCCATAAAACGCTCAGCTGATGGACGTATAAGATGTGAATCGATGTCTCCGGGTCATCCCACGCTAAGAGACAATGAAATAGAAATTGAAGTGCAAGCCTTGGGCCTCGAAAAGACAACTCTCAAACATGAAAGGTTTGAGCCAGAAAACGATGTTCCACTTTGCGAAGGATCAGGTGTTGTAACACATGTAGGACATAGTGTACAACTTCAGCGAGGAGATCGTGTGTGTTTTCTGGCGCATGTCCTTCCGTTGTCCAATGTCAGAGTTCGACAGACACAGGCAGTCCGATTTCCAAACGATATGGACTATTCAACGGCGGCTACGCTACCGAAAGACCTACTTGTATCATATGTGCTAACCACCAAGCTTTTACGAATAAACAGTAACAGTACTGTACTGATTCACGGTGGTTCTGCATCTTTCGTACGAGCATTACTGCATATCGTGCAGCCGCTTGGCCCTCAACTGTTCATCACAACAGAGACGGATTGTACTACGGAGGAACTCTGCCAGTATCAGTGCACTGTCTTACCTACGCCGTGCTCATCACAGTATCTCTTCGCGATGAAACCCAAAGGCGCAGATGTTGTCATAGATATTGGCATGGCGACGGGCATCGACGACGCATCAACGTATACTTCCAAATTCGGGCAGTACTTTCGCTTGCGCATGGACCTGGATTGTGATCTGCCGCAAGCTCAAACGTCTAATTTGTCGAAGCACGCTATTGCATTTTCCATGACATACGACTCCATCCTATCGCACTACTATAATGAGGACAACTGCCTGACCTCGGCCGCACAATACATTCGTCAGCAAGGTATGGGTCATCAAAAGGCTCCGGTGTTTGCTTTGCAGGATGCCGAAGACGCGCTTGAAATGCTGAAGCCGGGATATGTCGAAAAGACGATCCTAGAGCTCAAGAATGATGACAAAATCACACTTCATACGCCCATTGCTGATAAGGCGATATTTGATGCCACGGCAACCTATGTAGTAGCCGGGGCTTTCGGTGCTTTAGGTCAAGCAGTAGTGCGATGGATGGCGCGGAACAATGCTAAGTACATGATACTACTATCCCGGTCCGGTGCCCGAACACCTGAAGCAAAGATGATGCTTCAAGACTTCCGAGGGGCAGGAATTGAAGTCGCGGCGCCCATCTGCGATATCTCGCATTACGACACTCTGCGTAGTGTCTTATCCGAGATCTCAGCGACGATGCCAAGAATCAAGGGTTGCATCCAAGCATCTGGCATCCTGAATGTAGGTACACTTTTCCGTTCAGGTATGACACGATACTAACGTAATTTCCAGGATAAAGCCTACGAGAAGATGGACTTCGAAGACTGGAATAGCGTGACCAGGCCTAAAGTTGACGGATCTTGGAATCTGCATGAAATTCTTCCTCAAGGCATGGATTTCTTCATTATGACATCTTCACTATCTGGTGTGCTTGGGCAAGCGACACAGATGAACTACGCTGCCAGCAGTACCTATCAAGATGCACTTGCACGCTATAGAGTGTCTAAAGGAGAGAGGGCAGTCTCAATCGATCTTGGCGCTCTTCTGACCGGAGGACTTCTGGACAGTATCATGCTTGAACGTTTTGTCCGATCAGGCCTCTACATACCAATTCCAGAGCAAGACGTATTGGCATTGCTTGAGATCTACTGTCGGGACGGTACTCTGGCTGATAGCTCATCTAAGTGCCAGGTTATCACTGGCGTCAAGAAACCAGTCGATAGCGTTGCGGAAGGTCATTATTTGTCTGAAGCGCTGCAAACGCCTTTGTGGAGCTTAATGCGTGTCACTCACGGACGCAAAACCTCGACCTCAGGGCTTGCCCGTGAGGATAGCACTCTGAAAGAGCAGGTGAATGAAGCAGCGACTGATATCGAGGCAGCAGCGATCGTAACAAATGCCTTGTCAGAGCGCTTTGCGTCACTCCTTCTACTACAAGTGGATAAAATAAATCCAGACAAACCTTTTCACAGTCTCGGCGCAGACTCACTGGTTGCAATCGAAGTTCGTAACTGGACTCTGAAAAACTTTGAGGTAGATATCCCGGTATTCGATTTGCTGGGGGACAGGACTATCAACATAACTGCAACATATCTAGCACAAACCCAGCGATCCAAGAATTCTGCATCATAACGGAGGCTACTCGCTTGTTATGTCTTTCTTGGCTAAGAATTGGCCATCCTTCAGTGCGGGAACAGAACCTGCGCTCCCTATATTCGTCATCATCGTGACATAGATATATGCTGCAACCAAATGACCGACGCTCGCCACCTTTCCCTTCCCAAGTACGCTCTCCGCAGCTTGGAAGTCTTCATCCGGTAGTGGTGCTCGAGACTTGGCCAACTTCAGAGCTAGTTTGTACACAACAGCCTCTGGTTCCTCTAGGCCGTCCGGACACTTGCCACTCACGGCCTGCTTGATCTGTAGTTCCGAGAACCCTACTTTTCGCGCAATCTGCGAATGAGCATAGAGCACAAACGGGCAGTCGCAAGCTGCAAGCACGGCGAGACAGCCGAGCTCGCGCTCCTTCATGGTGAAGCATTTCTGGAATACAAATGCGTTTGCGAGGTTAAACCAGGAGTCTATCAATTCGGGGGTATAGCTGTGATTGGGAGCTCAGCAATTGTATAGTTTATATTTGAATTAGAGAGATACATACTAGAGAGACGCATACGGGCCCATCAATGAGTCGTTTTCATCTTTCCAGACTAGCCCAGGGATCTTGCTGAACTCGAAATCGAACACTCTAGCCTCCAGGTCTTGCTGTTCTGGAGTGAGAGACTCCGGTGAAGGTTTTGGGAATCGAGACATGATTGTTTGAAATACGTGCGAAGCTTGGATGTGGTTGGAAGAAGGTTTGGGGAAAGCTGTATGGAGTGCGACCGGTGTGGTCTTTATATGATAGTTAGCAGACCTCAAGCCAATCAGAGGATCGATATTGGTCCGTACATCCTTGCAAATCTGGCTAACTTAGGGTCCTGAATCCTAGGCTAGTGTGTGCTTGTTTCAGATAACCCCAGTCGTACATGATATCTCTGGCGTGGCTTCCATATCAAGCATAGGTAGACGCGAAGGCTGCTATAACTGTTGTGTAATCAAGACAGATGAGGTAGTAGGTCATATTAACAAAGGTTAAGAGAGATCCTTTGGTTACAGGCTGTATGATATAGAAGTGTGAGGATTACTCCATCTCATGACCACAAATTGACGCGCCGCTGGGGGTCATTTTGTTTATTTTAGGTCTCGATACTGAGTGAGCTTCACGAAAGACTGAACCATAGAATGGGCTTTCTAGAGTTATACATTCTTATTGTTAGGGGCAAGGCGAGAGTTGGAGAAAGTCTTCAGTGTATAATAGATAATCACATAATTATGTAGAAGTCTTAGGAGAAGCACTTAACAATAGGAAAATCTTAAAAAGGAAAGGATCAAGTCTCATTGAAGCTGTATTTAATGTTAGACTTTTTGAAAGTTTTCGGACATGGAGGGTAATATGAATAGGTAGTGTTTAGAAATTGCTTAATTCAATGGTTGCTTTGTTTGGTCATTACAAGTATAAAATTAAATGAGAGGTTATAAAACTGATATGTACTCCTACATATATTCTATTAGGACTTGAAAAAGATACTTCGGAAACATTCAGGACCTCATAAGCATACCTCAGGTCTCGTCGTACAAATACTTGAGTATTCGGAGGTATACTATATGTGTTTATCACCCAGCCGATCCAGTCTGTATCTTTTGTAAGGATAGTTCGTGTGTTAGATGACAGACAGGTTGAATTAATAATCAGACATGTCTATTCTATTCTTTGAAGTAGGTAACAATTATAGATATTTATAGGAAATTTGAATACAAAAGTCAGGATGTAGACTTAAGTTGAATTCGTAAAAGTAATTAAGAAGACGCTTCAATATCACAGATGAGTCCTCAATACCATTCCTACATACATGATGGGTCCCATCACGTAGCGCGAGGCATATTCTCGAACCGAGTATAGATGCTTCCTAAAGTTACTTCATCAAGCCCCGGTCTTATATCTACGCCGATAACCCCTCTTATTCCAACCGAATTCTTAGTTTCGCGCAGGTAACATCACGCTTAGATGCCAAGCTTCCTTCACCATTCAGATATCTGTGCGGAGTCTTGTTTATGGCCGCTACGTGCGTTCTGCTTACATGGTATGGTATCTTATTGCTTCCAACATCTTCTATGCCAATGTATAGAGCCCTGCCATTCTTGGCTGTCCAATCTACGGCCGTAATTACTAATGTACATCTTCTCTATCTCGGCTTCCGCAGCATTAGTAATGCTTCCAGCCATGCTTGATCGAGTATCTCATAAATAACTGCTCCGACCACTGGTACACGACCCTTGTCACCAACCAAATCATCGTGTAGTCATTTCGAAATATCTTAACAGAGTACCGATCATATAATCTCTCCGTACCTCTCTTATCCTGCTACTTCCAGACCATCAGCAATGTCCCACCTCGAATACTCTGCATACCCGGGCTTCGGCACCCACGCCGCTGCAAACACACACTACAGCCAAACAGTGCGCGTCGGCGACATTATCAAAGTCGCCGGTCAAGGCGGCTGGATCCACTCCTCCAGCCCTCCGGCCTTTCCCCCCAACGCAAGCGTTTCTTCCGAGATTGAGCGCGCGTTCTCGAATGTGCAGACGGCCCTCGTGCATGCTGGATCGGCTGGCTGGGCACAGGTTTATGCTCTGCGAGTCTATGTGACGGAGCTGAGCGATGAGATGAGTGCAGGTATTATCGGGGAGCTGCGCAAGTGGTGCCCTGGGCATAGGCCAGTCATGACGGTTGTGGAGGTCAAGGGGTTGTTTGCGGATATGCGGATCGAGATCGAGGTTGAGGCACACTTGGGAGGTTAAGATGAAGGGAAAACAGGGGGAGGACTTAAGAGGTATATTTATATACAACATATGTATAGCGTGCCTCCTATCGGTGAAATATGTACAATGAATATCCCTTTACCCTTTCCTTCAGTCATGCAATCATGTCATCGTGTCTTGAATGCGCATTATTTTCTTCCCGCATTCGGACTCCCGGGAGCAGGGTTGAAGTCGATGTGTCCCGGGGCATCGGTAGGGGCAGGGTTGGGAGCACAAAGCGTAGCTCCAACGGGTCCGAGATGGCCCCCAATGCAGCCCTCCGCACCGCCTTGGTTGATATAACCCCCGGCCGTGCCCTGCGCAATGTCGCCAATGTTGCCGGCAAGATGGCCCGCAGCGCCCTGTCCTCCAGCACTGCTCTGAAGCACACCCGCGAGCTCACCGTGACCGGGTCCCAGGTTGATGAAGCCCTCGCCTCCGACTTGGTCCTGTAGGAAATTGGGTTAGTTGGCTGCCATTAGGGAATCTGGGAGGAAGAGATGCACGTACGACACCGGCGGAGTTCTTGCCCTCGATGGGGAGGAGCTGGAATTGGAAGGGCTCGCTGGTGTATGAGGCCTGTGGGACGCGGACCTCGTTGGGAGCCTTGACGACGGCGACAGGGGCTGGTGTGATGAGGGGTGAAGCGGTTGCGCCGAGGGCGAAGGCGAAAGCGAGGATGACTTGAACCATGGTGTCTGTCTGATTGAGATTTTGATCGAGGTACAATGGTAGTTCGAGTCCTTGAGTCGAGAGAGGAATGGATGGATTCCAGAGGTTGTTCGAAGGTTTATATGCCTCCAGATACGGTGTGCATCGAGCGTCCCGCATACCCGCATCCAGACCAGAAAGCCATACAGCGTGAACGGGGATCTACAATGTCTGGTCTGTTGTTCCGACTGAATTATCAGCACCAGGCGGGAGATATACCGCGGCTTCTCTATAGCTTGTCACTGGCTTATTCCACTTAGCGTGAGATCATCACATTCGTAGCGAGCTAATACCCTAAGAGCGACCCTCAGAGGTATAATTGCCCTCCATAACACTCAAGCGTCTTGCGGGGTACATCTTCGTAGAGCTATTCGTCGAATCGCTGATATGATAGTGTCTTGTTCGGGTGAAAACTGAATTGGCTGCATATGCGCAATGGAAAATCCCGTGGCGCCTTCAGGGCAACATGGTAAATTCCCGCCATCTAGTCGTGGATTATTCGATCTTTGTTTGTCTGATTCTACTGGTTTTGTGTCGTCCTGACTTCAAGCTCGTATACCTTCATGTGCTATGCGGGTGCTGTGACCATCGTGAAGCTATCGTATGGACACGAACGCCAGTGGTGAGAGGTCAAGACAGTAGAGCGTACTTTCGTATAATATCAAATTCAGTGATGCCGTACCATGCCCCCTCACGACAAGTAAGAACGACTTGATGCAGGACTGAAACATTTCTCGAAGCCACCACTTGGGACCGGACTCATGCTTTAGCGTGTGATTTTACGGGATCTGCCTCGGCTTAAAATGTCATGCCTCCACGTGGAACGCCACATGATGGACTTAGAAAATGTGAGCCTGGTCTGAAAGCTCGAAGCCGTAGTAGGCGTAACAACAATGCTGTGAGCTTGTGAAGATGGAGGCTCATGCTTCCGGACGATCGTCTTCAGGGATGGTTTAGTGGCCGCATGCCAAGATTTCTTATAAACTGGGGTTGATTTGGAAACAAGCTTCGCGGGGTAAATGCATGTGTGTTTATGCGAAGGAGCCGTTGCAGTGCGGGTGGTCAGTATATCGCTGACATGTATCACGGTTGTTAAAGTTGTTAGATGGGTCGGATGGTTCGCCAGATGTGCTACCCCAAAACATCATTGTTGGAACACAGAGATGAGCCGTAGGATTTGACATTTGTGCTAATACTGACCATCTCACCCTGCTCCTCCCACGACGACGCCCCTATTTCCTCTCGGCCCTACAAACCCTCTCCTCTGTCTACCTGTCCTGCCCCTTCCCAGCCAGTTATACTTCAGCTCCTTCGTCAACCGCTCCATCTTACTCTGCGCTTCGTCTCCACTCTGGACGCTGGCTAGTACGCTCACACATTGAAGCATCCTGCCCACTGTTTCTGTGACCTGACTTGAGTCCATCTGCGCCGGTGCTGGTTCACGTGCTCGTGGGCGTGGACTTTGTCGGCCTATACTGGCGAATGAACCTGCTGATGTATTGGACGTGGCACGTGATCGAAGTCCCAGAGAAGACGCGTTGCTGGTTGTGTCGAGTAGTGTAGTGGACTGCGAATTGAAGCTTGAGAAGGTGGGGTCTGTCGATGCTGATGTTCCTGGACGAGGTGGTTCGGCTGAAAGGTTAGGCGTTGGCGGATGACTTGCAATACCGGCGGATAAATTTTCGAGAGATAGGCGGGAGAATATGGACATCAAAGTATCATTGCGCGGAAGGAGCACGCTATCACGGAAAGTAAGAAGCACTATGCGACGGACATCTAGCTTTTCGCCGATAGTTGGTGTGTGAGGGTCGATCGAAGATGAATTGGCATTTGACGGGACGGCAGCCCAGAAGTCGGACGCTTCTCGGGACGTCATGAGAGGTCCACGACCTTTGAATTCGAGATCTAGAGGTAAAAAGACAGCCTGGAGAAAGGGCAGGATGGTCGTAAAGACTATGACCCACATCTCGACCAGGTTTGTTACCAACCGATCATCTGGTACATGTCTCAAGGTCTGATCCAGGGACAGAAACCCAGTCTGCAAAAGCTCCCTAAGGTCCTCGATAAGCGCTACTGGGTTTCGTTTCTGTATACACCGCCTAATATGGACTGATACAAGTCCATTGAAGTCCTCGATCGGTGGCCTCGGATCTTCACCTTCAAATATGTGTAACAATCGGGCTTTGAGTAAAGGCCAAGCATCGTCTGGCGTGAGACCAGCTATACCAAAGACTGTGCCTAGAGCAGCCAGATCTCCAGCATACGTGAGTGTACTTGGACCCGGCGATGGTCCGGCTGACGTAGAATTACCAAGACTTGACGGTCCTACCCATTCGATACGATCTGTCTGGAAAGACTGTCCACGTTCACGAAGCATTGGATCCGCTGGATCGACACCGTAGGGTGCCAGAGCTGCCGCTTTCTCTTCTTTTTTCTTCTGACGTAATGCTCGACCGCCATGCCGTAAGTCAAGCCCGGTTGCAAATGAGCTGGTATGACTTGGAGACGCTGGATTCGGAGCAAATGAGTACAGAGGTTGCGGCATGGCAGGATCTGTGGGCTTGGAGTTACTCTTGACAGATGATAACGGCAGATCATGATATTCATCCTTCTCTTTCAACTTGTTCTTTTGGCGCGAGAGAAAATGATGTTTATGCTTTTCCTTTTCCTTCTCTGGTGCATATGACTGCACTTTATCCAGTGGTACTAGCGTTGATGTCGAGGCATTCGCAGATGAGTAGATAGATGTTGCGCTAGACATGGATGGATCAGTAAGACTTGTTGTCGAGTTGTTCATCAGCATCCGATTCATAGCCGCATTCGCTTTGCCGGGAGAGGGTAGAGGCGGGTGTTTCCTGTCAACATCCTTGTCTCTCGATATACCAATGTTCTTTGGTTTAGAGAACAGCTTCATCTTCGACTTCTCCTTCTTCATTTCACGCTCCTGGGGTATAGGCGGCGGGGTAGGTTCATGTGTTGCTGACAGTCCCGGGGATGGAATTGGACTCCTGGGGTACGCCGCATTGGCTGCACTTGTTGCCGCCATACGACTTCCACCAGCAAGTCCATGTTGATATTGCGAGCTTGGATTGTTTGATCGATTTGAGAAGTCAACGACTGGTACAGGAGGGGGAGGCGACATGTGTCCTTTGTTTGGCGCGTTCCGATCCGCAGGCCCAGGTATTGTCTCCGATCTCTTTCTATTGTGGTGTGCGGTTTGTGGGTGCATCGCAGCCTGTGCCGCAATCTGCGATGCGGTGAGGTTTGTCATGGCGGACGTGCTCGGCGTGCCAGACGAAAGTGTGGGTTCGAAGTATCCCTGTGAACGTTGTCGTCGGTGTGTGAAGTGTGAACCGAACGTTACAGGCGAGCCTACCACGGGAGAGACAGTACGAGAGGAATCGTTCACAGCGCGAATGAGTGGAGGCCGTGGTAAGCTGTCGGTGGACGTGTTGATAGGTGGTATATTGACTTGTCTCCCATGCAGTGTATATGGAGAACGACGCGAAGCGAGCGCGGTGGCATTTGAGGAGTCTGAGGAGGAGTCAAAAGAATCACTGTTACTGCGACGGTATGCAGGTGCTGGAGAAGAGGGAGCCATAACAAGACGAGTGATTGTTGGCGGAGCTAAAGCTTGCTGGGATACGTGACACGGCCGCAGGGAGGGGGGATTCGGTCCACGGTCAAAGACTTGCGGCTTCCATACACGCCGGACAATGGCCGTGACAAAATGCCCAGTGGTAACACAATTCTATCCGGCAGAAGTGAATACAAAGAGACAACGATAATTAGTAGAACTGTAGGTGTATAATCTGGAGAATGAGGGGATACCTAGATCCGTCCATGATGTTGGAGAGTCCACTAATTACGGCTAGTTAGTAGTTCTCGGGGTTGTAGGGTGGGGACTTAGCGTCCCCCGCAACCTCGAATTGATCTTTTTCACCTTCATCCAACATCATACCATCTCTCTCCCTCAGCCCCCATTGCTTTAGCCATGCCAGATCTCGAAGCGAAGTACGTTCATGTTGCCGAAGCTTCGTCATCGTCCTCGCCGAAGATATTCTGTCGTCATCTCCCCCAAGTCTCGGAAACGTCCCCTACCGAAGAACGCGTAGCGTACCTCTCTGCTCTCCGTAGCAACACCATCAAGCTTCAGGACGAGATTAATACCTTTCTGACGAACAAAATGGAACACGATAAAGCTGTGGCTGATGGCAAAGGAAACATCGATGATTCTAAGGAGGAAGAGAACTACGGTGAAGAGGTCGTTGAGGATGATTGATGAAACTTCAGTGGATGTCTGGTGCATCATAAACGACGACAGAGGATACCTCAAGCATATTATTATCAAGTCAGGTGGAAGTATGATATGTTCATAGTGCAACGTCGCAAAGAGGGGCGTATAGACTGCAAAGGTGGCCCGGTACCAGCGCCGTGGGACATAACTTCGACCGGCCGCAAAGCTCACAAATACTGGACAAGAGAATCTACGGAATCTCCCAGTAGTAATCATGAGCTCTCCAACGCACAGAGCCGCAGAATGTCTAACTTTACGCTATATGAGGCCGCCCCGCATCTATCTGAAGAGACGATAGAATGACTGTACACAAGTCTGTAGGGGTTTTCAGATCCTGGTACTCCTTATTGTCTTTTTCCCTTCGATACACCACCCAATACACCTTTGGACAAGGCCCTCATTATCCCTAAACTCGCACTCCACACAGGCGCGCTTGCAAGGCGAAGAGACCCTCTCAGCGATCTACTACGAGCCTCATATCTGATTTCGTCCACGGCTCCTTGTTTAATTGCTGATCAAGACAAATTCACATCGTGAAGGGACTCATGAAAGTGTTGACTTCTGTGGATGGACGCAGGCTGAACAATAGTGTCGCGGTGGATCGCAATGCAGCTACAAGGACATAATAGACGTTGAGATCTATATACAAGGCGAGAAATGCAATCGAAGGACGAATACGAGCATCAGAAAATCTTAAGTCCACTTACTTCCTTTTACAACAGCTGCAGTCAAGCCTTTGCAGTATCCAAAAGCGTCGTTGAGGGCTAAGTTGCCTTCACGATTGATTATCAATGTAATTACGCGTCAAGCCATCTCTCGAATGACTGCTTCCTCGGCCTCGTCAATACCATTCTGTGTTGTTTTGACCAGAAGGCCTTCGCGACTGAGAAGACCCACGTCGGCTCTGATGTCTCCGTTCTCCGCGTTCTCCAGACAACCTTTTTCGAGTATCTCAATAAAGGTTTGGAACGATCCACCGGCGCGGATCTCATCTTTGTATGCCGCAACACACCTTTCGCACAGATAAAGACCACACCCACGTCGCATTCCAGAATCACCTCTTAGTTCGTTACCAAGATGATCAGCGTCTTTATCCGCTTCACATGCCGAAGTTGCCGCATATACATAACAGAAAGTGCAGAAATATTCGTTGTCCAGGGGCACACCGTCGAAGAGCCGGTTGATGGCATCGTCATTCCCAGCTACTGTCTTCAGGTGTTCTGACCCTTTGAGGGGTCCAATGATATGTTGATCACATTCCACGATGAATTCGCGCTGCAAAGTGCAATTTGCACACATTCTCGTTGGTTCGATGCCATTGGCAGTGTAACCGCCCTCCAGTTCTGAGTAGCCCAGGCCTGAGTCCCATTTGAGTACGTCGACGGTCTTTACTTGTCCTAGCCCTCCCAACCCATAAGTCAGATCTTGACAAAAGTTACAGTGCGGATGCTTTAGAGTGAGCATTTCTACGGTGGAAACATCTATCCAGGGGTCTCCGACCAGCATGAAAGCCATAGGATGAGCAAATTGCGTCCTTATTTGCGTCATTGTCCCGCTGTTTCCGTGAACGTCCATCATCCAGCACCCAGTGTCGGCGCCAGAGACCTCTGCAATCGGATAGGTTACAGTGCGAGAATCTTGAGGCTCGTCAACGAGTGTCGGACCGGAAAGGCCTCTGTACACTTGCACCGTGGAAGGGCTTGACTCCCCAATTTCTACGGTGGAGTGAGCGTGTTCATCCTCACCTTCCAGATCTTCATTCTCTTCCTGATTTTCGCCGATTTCTTGTTCTGCATCGGTGTCTTGGTCCATGACGTCTTCACTTTCGTCCTTCTTACCTCCTTTAATGCTTAGTTTCTTTGTTTTCAGCTTTCGCAAATTGAGAAAATCGCAAGTCGTGCCATCTTTGACGCACGTCTTGCAAGGTGGTAGATCGTCCTTGGTTTTGAGAGAACATCTTCTTTTCGCCAAGCGACAACGGGTGCACTGAATATACGTACGGTCTGCTGCAGCTGCAAGGATCATGTTCTGTAGCGACAGCGGATTATCGACGGAAATCCTCTGCCTTCCATGGCCTGGCAGAGGTCCCGCGACGCATAAACTCGACGAAGTCACGCACTCATCACAAGGTCCCGGCTGATCTGGATTGTCTGCTAAGGAGCAGTCGTAGTCGGCTCTTTTGCAACTTTGGCAACGTTGTCTGTATTCAGGGGCGACGAGAAGTTGGCAGTCTCGCTGGTCACTTCTGGGATCATCTTCAGAGCCTGTATCCTCTGAGCTGTGTTCTGCGGGCGGACAAAGTGCGCAAGGATATGCGTTCGGGTCTTTCAGCAAAGGACAGGCCAGGTCAAGTCTGCGACAAGTGACGCAACCTCGAGCCGCCGGGTGGTTACGAAGGTCCTCTTGATGTCGGTCAGGATCCGTCAGTGGGTCGGTGATGACTTCATCTACATTACTTGATGATCTGTAATCTCTTGCTCGTCTTCGGCGGTGGCGCTGCTTCACCACTTGAGTCATACCCGTGCCAGAGCTTTCACCGATAGACTCGTCAACGAAAATATTCCAGGCCTCGTCATCTGGCCAATTATCCACCCAGCCCGCCAATAGCTGTTGCATTTCATATGATTCATACCTGAAGATAACTTCGAGGTGGAGTCCCTCTTGTCTGGCCTTCAGCTTTGAAGTTGGTGCTTTGGGTCTCTGTGGAGCGTCCAGTGATTCTTCAGCATCTTCGTCTTCAGGGTCTGCGTTGACCACGAAGCCAGTGCGTGGCAGACTGATGGCCCGGCGCTTGCCATCTCTTTTCTTTGAGTGCTTGCGCCGGTTTTCTGCTCTAGGGTCGTAGTCACCACTGTTGTCATAGTCAAAAGCAGTTCTCATTGTCCGAAGAATTTTTGGGTCACGTTCCCGATAGTCATAGGCTTTTACATAGGGCGCAGGTGCCGCAGGTGGTTCAGGCGATACTGGTGTGTCGTAGCGAGTCTTTCGAAAATTCTCATTCTCTTCGTAGTAGCGCTCCCTGAACGCCATATCTTCGGCTCCATCGTCCATCGGCTCATCCTCACTCTCCATTTCTTCATCTGACAAGATCTCATCCTCTGCTCCTCTTTCTTGGTCCTCTTGGCCTTCTTCAATCAGTTCACTATCTGTAATCTCTTGGTCTTGTTTGTCTTCTTCCTCGTATTCATCCTGGAGTTCCTCAGATCTTGCTGGGCTTGAGGTGATGTCGCATCCTTCGCTTGAGTGGCCTTGTGGGCTTTGTTGAGGAACTTTGCTCGTCAGCTGCATTGGCTCAGAAATTATAGAGGATTGAATGCCTAGATCTACCAAGCCGGAGTTTTGAAGGCGCATGGAAGTCATGTTAGAACCGAGGCTGCTTGTATGTCGTGAAGTACAGTGTTGAATGCTTGGTTGGTTAGACTCCTCAAGCTGCATTGGCGTCGGGAGTGATTGTTTACGTTTCTGGTTATGAGAATCGGACCTCACTTCTGTCACACCGCTGCTGTCTTGTGAGGTGGGCTGGCATAGCCCATTCCATTGAAGTGAAGGGTCGTCATTGATCCTTGATTTGATCGACTGTTGTGACTAATATAAGAGATCAGCCTCCAAAGTTAATGCTTGGTCATCTCAGAGTGTAAACGCGTCGCACTATTTCTCAGTGTCTCCCCATTCTTGAGATCTCCAATATCAGATTGGAGAAGCCCGAGTACTTTTCGATCATCACCCTAACTCCTAGCCCTATGCAGTCCCAGATACGTGGTATAACTTACAAATTCAAATTCAGAATCTGATGAGCGCCCCGGTGGAAAACTCCAAGTGGGACTGGGATTCATTGTATATCACTCGCGTGAAGCGTGTAGAGTTGAGTGAAATATATCAGTATTGGTCAAACCAGAACGTGAAAGTGAAGTCTTCTGGCTGATTTGGCGATGGGAAGCGTCAAAGCAGAAAAGAAAAAGGCAGAGCTAGGAACCAGAGAGGTGTTGGAATGAAGTGCATCTGTATAAAGCTCAGACCGGATAACCAACTTTGTGACGGACTTGCCTTGGAAGAGGAGTGAAGTGCGATAACTTTGTAAAGGAAAGGGTGCCCAGACTCACAGAAGTACAATTATTAACGCCATTGAAGGTGTTGAGGACTCTCTATCCAGCATAGCATAAGACGTTTAATCTACGCACGACAAGATCTTGTATCGACATCAATCTGCAGATGCTATTGCTACTCTACAAGGTATTATCTTGTTACTTCAGGTTCTCGGATTTGAGGTGAATTATCTTCCTTAAGCCATCTGTTTTGTACTATTTGTACCCGATGAGGAGTTAGCCATTAGAAATTGGTAAATGCTAGACTGAGATACAGATATTCTAGGTAATCATCCATACTCCATAGTAGTGAAATGATTATTTCACTCAAGCTGGAAGGTTTGACAAAAGTCTTTTCGAGTATACCACATATCAAGATTGACCCTGAAACTTGTGCCTGACTCGGAGACGCCAAAAAATCACTGGCAAAGTCCGTGAAATTCTGCCCAGATTCAGCGCTAGGACGATGCTCTCGAACGCCTATTTTACATCCTATCAGCTCTATGAAGCGCATATTAGCCTACGTTGTTAAAAATACTGTTAAATTTTGTTGGGCACTGACCTAAAACACTTGAGTTTGCTGACAAAGCGAAAATAACAATTATTGCGGAGCACTATTTCTCGAACTCTTGGCCTCTTTAAAGCTCGTTAAAGGGAACATGGCCGCTGAGACAGAGTCGTGAACAGCATCTGACAATGTCTGGCCACACAGGATCTTATAGCACGCACGAAGAATGATCATGGATCTAGAACGGCAAGGGAAAAAACAAAGAGTCTGAGACGAAAATAAACAGCCTCGCCGCGGCCCTCTGGTGAGGCTAGTCTTCGTTCCGTAGCACCTTTGCAATATGACTCTACGTCCCAAAAACACCTCACACAATGACGACAAGAGAATGAGTGACAGCCTCGATGAGATACACAGAGTAAGCAACGAGACTGGCAGAGGCAAGACCTGTGATAACGATAACAATCGATACGTACGTAGACCTGGCCTCGAATGATGAACGCCTTGACGATGCAGAACGCCATCAGGTGCAGGAGTAGGGTGCGGACGCATGCTATCACACAAGTATAGTGCACATGGGACTTCGAATTCCGATAACTGGACCTCGATGGGACAAATTCGAGCCAGTAACCAGGCCAAGAGAAGAATGTCGTGCAACATATGCTTTCGACACCGGTACCTTCCGCGGATGTAAGATAGTAATTTCCGCGTTGTGTCTGCAAGGGACAAATGCGCTGCTGATCTTTGTTTACGAGGATCTTTTACAAGAGGCTGATCCACGTAGTCATATGGTATCTGATCCTAGAGGCTTGAAATGCGGCTTTCTCGTCGAGCATATTCTCCTTTGGACGCCTGAGTCTAGACTCGACTATTGAAAGCCTCACCACCGCTCTACTGCCGATACAGGGGTAAGGGGTGGAGACAAATGATCACTAGACAAGACTGGCAACTTCAATGAGGAGTTTCAAGGCCTCTGAGCTGCACCGGTAAGCCAGTACTACGTACAGCAAGGATGCTTTAATCGGCCCTTTTCACACCGTTCGGACTCTGGAATCCTGATATGCCAATCAGCTTCGATATCGCATCAAGCATAAGGTGAGTGATTTTGGTTGGGCCTTTGTAGGTTCTCTTGTGGACTTTTGATGCATTTCCGTATTCTAACATCAAATGCTGTGTCCATTTGCAGAATGCTGTCTTTCAGTATGTGCTTTACAAGGCCCCCACATCTATTGTAAGAGCTAGGAGTTGACTCCGAGATTATTACAGGCAGGTGCCATTCACGCAAGCTCACCATGCTTCGGTCCCAACTTCCATGGATACTAGGGTCTTTCAATAGTGACTGCTCCACAAATCTCATGAATGTGTACCAGAGACACGGAGGCGGGTCCTTTCGTTTCGATATCATGATAGCTTTCGACATGCCTACGTCTCTGACTTTAAATATCAGAATTCTCCCGTGTAGTAGATCTTATAGTACCAATTGATTGGACACATCCAACGCAATCATAAGCAGCTATTCTTGTGATTTCGCAGCTCTGGTCAGGTAACAATCGACACCGAGAAATGTTAGGACGTCAATCCCGAAGCCTGTAACGATAGAGGGACCATGCAAGGACTCGATCCGGAAAACGAATACCGGGTCGCACCACGCAGCCCCTGTCGAATGGATGCGCAATATAACAGTCGGGCCGTTTCTAGATGAAAGGAGCTATACGGTAAGTAGAGAAGGCCTAGGATGTGTGAATGGTAACATGTTAAGGAGAGGGGGAAGAGGCTATCAATAGTCTACAACAGCAGCCACGAGGTTTTACAGTCGGTCATTGGAGCGGCTGTATATTTCCCATCAAGACAATGCTGTCGGATCGACAGCGGAAAGGTGATTGTGATTATCGAAATGCTGCGACAAACTTAGCGGTGTAGACTGTGTTGCGTGGTATGCCCTTCTGGAATATTGAACTTCAATGCTTTACATCATTATTGTAATAATTCTACAGCTGAATATGCTTATTAGATCAAATCATCGCTATTGTCTTCCAAGCCCAACCGTGACCTGACTTCCAGTGTCATTTGCTACCTATATGCAACACATGCAGTCTAATAGCACACGATAAGAAACATAATCCACCATCCGATTGCGCCATAAATGCGTTTAGATAACAGTGGTCTCGAGCCAGTATGTGGCGAGATCGGGTATATGCGAAAGCGAATCCTCATGCTCTACCTCGTTTAAAATCAATTTTACAGCATTTCGAACGTCATGGCGAACAGAAGAATTGTTCCTGCCAAGAAAGGGTTATTGGTAGATCTGTGATCAGCACCGTTGGCCGTAGGTGCTGGTGCTACCCAGTCTGGAGGTGGCCACGAGCTGGTAGCACCACCTGTTATCGACTCAGTGGGCAAGTCCGAGGACAATGCTGTTGAGGTAGCAGTAGTAAATGAACTTGGCACTATCGTATAGGAAGTCGACCACAAGGTTGACTGCACCGTGGAATGTACGCTTTCTCCTCGAGAAGACGTCACGGTAGGTTCGGAAACAGACAGAGGATCACTCGAAGTAGACGATGGATCAAGCCTCGAGGTGATAAATTCTGTGGTGAATGTAGCAGAAGTTGGTGCTATTCCAGGAATCACAGCGGTGCTAGGCCAGTCGCATGGCCAACAGGTAGCCACATCGCTACTTCGAATGGTTTTAAGCGCAGGTAAAAGCGCTGATAGCGCGTTTGGGGTTGACAAGGGAGGAATTGGAAGAGGTTGTGTGGGATCTCCGAGATCCTTCTGTACAGCAGAGATGACAAGTATCTCTGTGTTATGTGGAGTGGCCACTATCGGATAGGACAGGGTTGGTGTGGTTGCTGTGATCGTCAGTGGATGAGCAATTGAAACTCTAATCAGAACGAACCATTAGCGAAGTATGGTGATACATTTACACCATGTACAATCTTTACAAGTGCACCTACTGCGAGCCATATATATGTTCGCGCAGAAATGAGCATGGTGTATTATCAGGAGCAGGCTGTCCCGGAGTGTTAGGACTTTTAGCGATGGATTTGTCGGGGACAGTGATGGCTGAAAATATCCGTATATGATGATAGGAAAGTCGGAAAATAGTGGAAATGAAGTTTTTACCAGAGCATATTCATTTGTAACAGTCTTTTACCGTTTACTGACCGCGGTGGCTGGGTAAAGCGGTGGCTGGCTAGCCTCACCGAGTGGCAGGCAAACAGCGTTATAGATCATCTCTGATTTTAGCTTCTCAAATACCATAGCATGAGAATCTTCTGAGTCCATCGCAGATATGATCTGAATTGATGTTTTACTTGGATGTAGGCTATTCATGCGATCATAAGTACAAATGTCCACACAAAAGCGTCCGTGCGCAAACTAGCCACACGTGACATACTAGCGCGCACGTGACTCTTTCCTAGGAACAAACAAGTTTCAAGAGAATGACGAAAGGAACCACACTATGTTTATCTCAGGTATACAACCCTCACCTACGGAACGTCTTGAGTGGTAGTGAATCTGTCACCTTTGTTTACACTGAAGTGTTCCTCTAGAAAGACTGTACGATGAACAACTGCGAATACATCCTACTTAGTATTGCCTGCATGCCTTGCAGGTTGCTCCCGCATAACACAAAAATCCCTGTCGGTACTCAGCGCGCAACTTGGGCGTGCACCAAATAAAAGTCAAGCTGCTTGCTGTTGAGGAATAACGCTATAACCGATTGCTCACAGAGACTCGCGCTGGTATTGGGGGACCCCATTTTCAGCTTCGTACAAATAAGGCTTCTGGTCCTCTACCGAATCTGTTCTTCATCGCCCGAAGCGTTCTCGACTTGGTATCGGGGTACTAATAATCATATCGGCTGGAGCAATCCTCTTATCATCCACTCGAGGTCATTTTGGTACTTATTAAACTCCTGAAGAACGGAGCTGACCAATGCCGCATTTCCTGGAGTCTGGTCAAGGTTTGGTATGATGTTTCAGGCAGCTGACGGAAACATATGATTGAACCAGTCTTTGGTTCTGATGCAAGCCAGCCTATTGTACCCACCCGAGTCGCGAAACGACACGACCGCGCGCGAGTCATAATTCAGTGGAGTGAGCCTCTGCCTGGCGAGGTGATAGGGTGTGACCAGGAGATGGTTGCGCGGTTGCAAGGGAACCTTCGACATCTCTGCGAGGGCATGTAATTCGGACCGAAAACAATGTCGTCATTAGACATCCATATCCAGTTGGAGGCTCAGGGTCCTCGTCGACGAAGTATATCTTCAATTGCAGCAACCACCAGAGAGCCACTGTATGGCAGGCAAGCGTATGGCGAATCCGCGTTCGTAGAGGGAAATATAGCAAATGAGTCACAATCATCTATACCAGGGCCTATTCGTCTCTTGCAGGCATAAAATACGACTTCAACACACATATTCGTGTGTCTTTGTATTCATTCCATTCCGAGGGCCACTGCACTTGACAGTACCCCCGAGGGCTAGAATTGCACCGTAAACCCTGTCCTTGCTTGACATGTCGTCACATATACTTGACAGCTCCTCCCTCATAAAGACGACCACGTCTACTGTCACGTTGTGTTCCATTTCCCAACAATCGGACCCTTCAGCCATACATTCTGTCTCGATAGGCAGTACTACGCTATCAAATACGCACTCAAGCAATGACAGATCACTTCATATCCACCTTCAAATCGCACGAGGTTTATACGTACACCTTTGGCGATGATCGGGCCAGGCCGATACAGTGCACGGAGGGCCTCAGTCCCAGCTCAAGAAATACGACCGTGCAAGATACCAACACAGCCGACAGTAACTTGTGCACTTCCTATGGCAGCGTGGATACGGGCGCCTCACAGAGTCTGTTTAGCAATCTTCAAGGGAACATCGCGCAAACAGGACTGGGAATCAAGACGTCTATCAATGAGGTGTTCATGCCACTCACATCTTTAAGCATGCTCCACGGCGACACTTACCTGTTCAATCATGCGCCGAAGAACGGACAAACAGGCCATATATACTCCCAACCAAATATCGGACCCCCATCGGAGCTTAAAAATTACGCAAGCCCTACCTCGGAGCATCAGTCCGTCAAATCAGACAGAGTTGAAGACTTGGACTCTGCTCATGGACGCGAAAGCGCAGCTCTAGGTCACAGTAGCACTTGGTCTACCTCGCCAGAATCCCAACACAAGCACAAGCCTGTGGCATACACAAGGAGAAAGAAACCCCTGCAAACGGAGGGGAAGAAACCTGATACGCTTGAGAAGCAACGGAGCCGGAATCGGTTGGCAGCAGAAAGATGCCGCAAGAGACAAGTGAGCAGAATACAAATCTTGGTGGACAAGGTGGAGCAGCTTGAAGACCGTAGAGAGACACTATGCGCTGCAGTTGGCTCTCTTAGTTCTCAAGTCCTTGGACTGAAGGAGGAACTTTTGCGTCATAACGACTGCGGTTGCGAGAAGATCCAGAGCTACCTCCAGTCTAGAGTGGATCAGCTATTGGAGCATCCACCACATCGCAGGTCGGTTCCTTGACATATCTCCACAGACGACTATCAATGGCGGTGGAAGCTCATCAAGATGGTCAAACACGTCGCAGTGCAGAAGGAGGGAGCAGAACAGACCATAATCGGGATGATCCTCCTGAGCCTAGACACGCGACCACAATTCGGCAATACAAGCCTAGGGACCCTCCAGTCGACGCTTCGGGCTATTGTGTATTGTCTGATAACAGCATACACTAAGAAGACACGCATGGGATTGTGCGACCTCATTCGTGTCTCCTCGTTACCCCAGTAGGATTATCACTGGTGGCCAATACTCCGAAGACCTTTGGGAAGAAATACTCGCAAGCCATGCGGGAAGATACGCATGGTGAAACAAGACTTCGATCATCGCCCCCGCTGGGAGTCAGCAAGGGGGTACAGGCACCCATGCATACCAGAGGACTTTTCTCTCTTATACTGTTTGGCGTTGTAGCTTTCGCTCGTCCAGATGCCCATATATTAGAATATCATACTATGTACGCTGTTAGTCGCCAATTTCTCAGTTACAACTTACGTAGGGCTATTCACTTCGCAGCGCGCCAATATATCTTATCAATCAAGGTTCAACAGTCAATCATTGGCAATGACCAGGATGTTCTTCTTTTCACAAGCCAGTCAAGGACGTTAAATGACTTATGGTGCAGCATAGATGAAGTTCAACAACTCAGATAGATCAACATATTCTCTTTCCTCCATCCCTCTCTTTTTCTCTCTCTCTCTGCTTGTTCCTATGCTTGTTGCGCCTTCCCGACAGTCTTACTTTGCCATCAATTGGCGCTGGAAACTGGAGCTGTCTCCGAAGTCACACGATGAAAGTGTGCAGAATGTTGTGCTGCCGGAATCCTCGTCATGTGCGCTTGCTGTCCAGGCCGACTATCTGTACACGAAGCCTTGCAGGGACTCAAAATCTCCCAGCTCCGGCTAACACGAGCAAGACAATTAGCTATTTGTCTCCTAATCCCTACCTACTTCATTGCTCTTAGTGTCCTTATCCTACAAGCATTGAAACAAAGGCAAATACAGCGGGTCCAACAAGCCTCATCTCTGTCCCCACTCAGCACGCAGTTACGAATAACGGTGCTGGGATCACACCACGACCATTACACACTTTTCTCGCTCCGGACATTGATTCCTTGCTAATGGTCTCTAACTGGACACGCACCCCTGTTGCACTTCAATCTGCTGGTCCTTGAAGGTTTGCAGGCTGATCGCCGTGTTCACGCTTCTTCGTTAGGCATGTGCATCGACGAAGCACTAGGATCGTCCAGTTCTTAACTACAAGACCTTCTTATACTTAAGCGCCCATTTTACTCGAAAGCAAGACTGACTCAATTTTCAACATTTGTGTGTCAATCGCGGCGCAACTGAATCAGACTGAACGTGTGTCCCATTCAACAACAGTACCGCCGGCTCATCTTCACTTCCACGCGTTGATAGATAAATGTCTGAACAGAATAGGACCAAATTGGGAGCAAAACGCGAGCTTGCTGGGCGTATACAGACGTGTGACATATGCAGACTTCGTCACCAGAAATGCAATGGTGCGAAGCCTTGTTATCATTGTGAGGCCCGCAAACTCGAATGCAAGTACACCAACATCCCAACTTCAAAGAACAAAGGTCGCAAAGCCCCCAAAGCCTCAACAACTAGTGAGACTGCCGCAGATCGGGATAGTAGGAGGAATGACTTGGTCATCCAGACGATTATACAGGAAGAGATTGTTAGTATTCCTAGGTCTGCACGGATGGCTGAGGGAGTGACTGATATTACAGGCTTCTCTACCAATGTCGCAATCACAAAGTCAAGAGCTTGTCGAGCGTCTTACTAGAAGAATCTCCAGACGAGCTGCGCCGGTACAAATAAGTCCTCAATCCGATATGACACGCCCTGTTGTCGTCTCAGCTAGGCCGCAGCATCTAGTTAATGTCCTTGCTCAGCATTTAGCTCACAGGACCAGACAAATGCCACAAAAAGTACTCAAAGAGCTCATAATAGGCGTATATTCGGGACCTCCTCTCCGTTTACCTACAGCTCTACATCACGACGCACCAAACGAAGCGATGCATACGAAGGAACGGGCGACAAGTTGGATTCAGTCTCTACTACACGGACCAAATAATCTCATCGGCCTTCTGGACGCTCGCGAGAGTTTAGAGCTTCTGGACAGATTCTATTCGGCGGACAGCATAACACCAGTAGAAGAATGTATTTTGACATATCAGCTGGCTCTTGGGGCACGCTTGGCGGATGATACGCCTGAATGGGTGCATTATTCTCTATACGACCGAGCGAGGGCACAGTTGGAGAGGTGTATAGATTCCGAAGAAGATGATACGTGGGTCATACAAGCTATGCTCTTAAGCTGCATGTACCTCATGAATGCGCGTCCAAAGATTGGCAGAATACTTATAGGCAAGCTCAATGTGCGATTTGCTGCCTCAAGCTTGAGTTAACATGCAGTACAGGCACGGCAATACGAATCGCACAGCAACATCAAATTGATTTAGCTTTTCCAGACTCCTCGATACAAGATAAACGAGAATACGATCGGTTGAGGATGATCTGGCGTAGCATCTATTACCTCGATATGTATGTGCACTCAGCCATGACTGGGCACGCCGTCTAATTGCTCTCAGCTGGAACTCCATTCTGATAGGGTGCTTGCCTCAGCTCAGCGCGACGACAACTCAAGATCCTTTCCTTCGAGTAAGTCTCAGACAAATTTATGAATAGAAGATGTCAATCTGATTGAACGACCTGCGCAGGACATGGAAAATGATACAGTGGTACCAAATCAAAGCCTCGCCCACAACACTGCCATGCTTGCAGTCATAACAGGCAAGGCTCTAAGCGATATCTATACAGTCAATAAGATGGAGCCAAAAATGTTCGAGAAACATGTACAGTCTCTAAAGAACTGGGCAAAAAGCTTGCCGATAGACATGCAAGTCATAGGCAATAGGGAGACTCATGGTCCTCAGTTGCTCGCGACCGTATCTTCGGTATGTTCCATCTACGAATCGCATGCTTGCCATCTGACGATCACTCAGGGATATGCAGAGTTGCTGTATTACGCGTCAAACATGTTCATAACCTTACCCCCGCTCCAATACTCCCTTTCCGGCACGCATGACCTGCCTATGGGTCTGCATTTCGCTGCATTGACATGGTACGAAGCAAGCAGTCATATCTTCTCTAGCATATTTATAATGACTTTTCCCCTAGTACAGAATCGGCGATGCGAATAGGTAAGGTTACCAAGGCCTTGCTATCGCAAGGAGTCTTCACCAAGAGATCAGATATGCCAATGTATGCACCCACCAGAACCGAGGATATACCTTTACAATCAATCTACTAACACACAAGTAGGGTACTGAACTTCGTTGCGGCTATTGTTCTGCTCCTAGGCTTGAATATCAAAGATTCTGGATCGAAGTTTGACTTGGATGTGACAACACCAGAATCGAAAAAACCTGGAATGGTGGAAGGACTTAAGACGTGTATCGCGAATCTCGAAGAGGGCGCGAGCCAGGATGAACACGTCAAGAGCCTATATCAGATTGCACAGGCATTGAGAGACCTGATGGAAATGGCCGGCAGTCCTGGTGAGGGCTCATCGGGAGAAACTTCACCGCTCGGGCTTTCAACACACATGTTTTCCTTACAGCAACAGCAAGTCCCACCACGGTCAAGGGACCACTCATCCAGCGGTTCGCATTCGCACCCGTCCTTCACACCTCAAGGCATGTATATGCCAGACACTTCACAAGCCTTGAACAACACGCCGACCGTCGGAGCGCTCGGGCAACCGTCACACCTCCAGTGGCCAGCAAATTCGCCATATAGTCCACACGTGGGGCCTGAATCGATATCAGGGCTTACACCACTGCATTCGGGCGGCATACTGAGCAATCCCTATACACCAGTGACGTATATGACGGATTTCCAAGACGAGGAACCAGGTGGATACGTGGATGGACGGTTTGCGCATCAAGTGCCCTACGCTACCAGTTCAGGCGACATGAAATCACCGCTCGATGAGCGGAGAGCGTCCCAATACTCGAACGAATATTACTGATGAGTCCGTCATGCGCCGTAACGAATCTTCTTGTTACATTACACTTCATCATCATAGCTAGTACATCATTCTTTTCGGGGACGCATATCATGCAGCATGGAATGGCATTAACAAATAGCACTTTTCAACTTTTGTCAATCGCCGACACGCCTGCTCTTCCCAGGCCAGGTCAGGGCCTCCCAGATCATTCCGCGTGTAACCCAAGCCTTTCTCGGATCGGTCCGACGCATGTAACCCGATGTGGCACCATGATAATCCCATGATCCGCTGTCCTAGCAAAAAAAGCACTGAGGTCTTGTTTTCGGGCTCTTAAGACCTCGAGCCCCACCAAGTACGCTCTAGTACATCGCAGAGTCTTGGTGTTTGGCATTGTGCTGGGCGACCGCGGAGGTAGACCTCCGTTTCCACAGAGAAGCGGTGCCAGGAGCATGGGATCGGGCCCGGGTTCGCTGGCAGTCGCGAGATGGAAAAGCGTGGTGGTACCGTGTTCTTGGTGTTTACGAACTTATCCCTGCTCTTGACCAGACTTGTCATTGTACAATGCAACTTGATACAAGACAGCAAACAAAATGCCGTGTTACGAATTAGCCCTTTGTGGCATCGTGACCTTTTGACAATCTGGTACTCTGTCTCGGCTAACCTCGTCTCGAGCATCGTGGATCTTTGACATATTGCTTGATCGCTGTGCTGCCCAATATAATCACGAAGCCTTGGCGATCGGAGTATTCGCATGACATCACAGCTCGTCTGGAAATACGCTATCTTCGTATAATTACCACAGAACGAAAAGTGGAAGGTCTAAAACGAAATACAACAGAGATTCAGTCATAGAGATGCTGAAAACAAAAATTGAAATAGCTCAAAGTGGTTTCGATCCACTGTCCTCCGGGTTATGAGCCCGGCGCGCTTCCGCTGCGCCATTGAGCTGCAACTTCTTCATTTATCGGGGAACGTTGTTTATCTGAAGCGGGATTTCATGTTCTGACTCATATATGGGGCTGACCCACTAAAATGTCACCAAAAATTTTCAACTGAGGGCCTTCATTATTATGATAGTCGGCTCATTGGGTATCACTGACCGTTTAATATCTAAATTAATGTGACACTTTGTCACCCCTGTGCGTTCAGCCAGGGAATTGCTTCGCCCAATCTTATATGGTCCTGTGTCGCTAGCTGTGCCACAGCTCGAGACGTTCCCTACATGATTCGATGCTTTTGGTAGCTCTCGTAGGTCAACGAAGAGCCAGGTCAGGCTTTGATTGACGTATTGTTGAGTACAACACCTGAATCCGATCTCAGCTAGAAGAGCATAGAAGGTCTAAGAGACCTACCTTTGTGAGCTCGGAGGAAGTTCGAGAGTGACTATCCTTATTGCTTAAATGTCTCATCTGAAATCAACTACCTTCCAGCCCATGGTACCTCCCCTCTGCCGAAGCCACTGAGTGTAAGTCCTCCTTTGCTTTCATTCACCGGCCTCTTAGCAACCTTTCCTTGGCTTCGCACGCCTTCAACCACTTTGTCAAGCCCAGTCTCTACGACCACACCCCCAACTATCATCTCACCCAGCGTGGCATGGAGCGTCTCGAAATTGAAAATGAGATCCAGTTCGCAGACGTTCTCAAACAAGCGATCAAGAGCTTCCACGAAGACTTGTATGAAGTCAAGGAGGGCAAGAGGTGATTCGGTCGATGTGGATATGACGATAAAGTACAACGTGGCATAATGTCGATACGTAACGAGGGATGGTGTATCATTGTGTTGAGCGCCCGGCGTAGTTGATTTGCTGCTGTTGGCCAATAGGGGCGGAAGACCATAAGGCTGTCAATCTAGCTGCTGGAACTTGGTAGAAGGGCTCACATACGGGAGAAAGTTACATGACGAATTTGGACGATTGGCTACAAGCGTAAATATTTCTGATATCAAGCGCTGCTGGACGCTTGTTTCCTTGGCGTTGTCAGTATAGTTCTACCAGATACTGTCAGAGGTCCTGGGGTGTGAAACCAACCAGTTGTGTATAGAATTTGGTCAGACGAGGCTGGCCCGAGTTGTTAAAGACCAGCACGGCGTTGATCATCGCGATGCTCTGTTATGCGCATCCAAGCTGGACGATGAGATTGATGTTTAATTAACTTGGTGGGAGGGGTACCTAGCTTGTGCCCCAAGCTCCTTCTTACTTACATCACTTGCTCAAGTCGCGTTGCAGGTTGATATTCTCTATCGCAGCACAAGACATCACAGTCCATTCTAATAATTGAAGAGAACTTACTGAAGGACTTACATCTAAACTTCAATCGCCATGACCTTCACCGCCACTTCGCTCCCAAGAGCATCAAGGCTACTACTCCGACGAACCCGAAGCATTAAGCTCTCAGAGCTTCCTCCCAAAGCGTCAACACGAACTGTCGCACCTGCTTATACACAGCATGTCTCTTCGAATATCAGCGTACAGATTGTGTCAGCCACACGTCCCTTTCACACGTTTCGCGCCCGGCAAGGGCTCATGCCCGATGCCGAGAACCCTGCACCGAAAGAGAGCGAGCCTATGGAACATGCCACGCAGCCAACAAACCTTACAACGGATGATTATCACAAACATGCCGATGCCTACTTGAACGAGCTTGTCGAGAAGCTTGAAGAATCCCAAGAGACTAGCTCGGAAATTGACGTGGAGTATTCAGTAAGGAAGACCTATTGAATACGGTGATAAGATTCGCTCGCTAATCATCATTTTGCTTAGGCCGGCGTCCTCACTGTCGAAATAGTGGGTAGAGGCTCCTATGTACTCAACAAGCAACCACCGAACAAACAGATTTGGCTCAGTTCGCCGATCTCTGGGCCCAAACGATTCGATTGGGTTACGCTGGGCGAATCTATGGAGCACAAGGAAGGTTCTGGGACAGGAGACTGGGTATGTTTGAGAGACGGCAGCAGTCTTACGGACATCATTCAGAAGGAACTTGGGGTCCAGGTAGGAGCTGCAGAAACCGTCTACGGAGAGCAGTGATCCATGTGTAACAAACTTTCCCAGGCGAGAGCATAGCGAGCATCGAATGTACTATACTGTTTCTCTGTAGAAAATGCTACAGAACTCTACATACGCGTGCCTATATGTCGAATTTGGTCCATTTCCCGGCTCGGTTCGAGTTCGAGCTCCTGGACCAGTACAGCTTTTCTGGTTAAGCTCGTAGTAGAGTAGATCCGGGCTTCTTTCACGCCGAGCTTTGTCGATTTTCATACTCTTTTCCAACCCTCACCGGGCGTCGTACATTCTTAGTTGGGCTGGGCTTGAGTAGCGCCCGGAAGTTTGAAGCACCATAGAGCGCCTCGGGATCCATGCCATGATATGACTGGATGTGGTGCGCAGTCGGGCTGGAAGAGGTGATATAATGTGCAGGTCGGAGCGACAGAACCTTTAAGACATCAGATCGGACGTGGACATGCCCGCGCTCTTACTACGAGCGTTCGCTCCTAAGGCACCATCCTTAGAGCGTATAGTCGTGCCTGATCCTCGAGGAAAGGCGAAATCATCATCTAGCTCTGCAGAACCATAGCAGCACTCAAACAGCGACAGCAACAGGTTTGACAATCTCCTCCTTGGGCGCCTCCTCTTCCGGATCCTCTCTCTCTTCCTTCGGCAGTGTATCCTTTTGGCAAAATACACGTTAGCTCTCCCAACGTTATAAGTGCCCTGACTCCCAGTCGATTATCACTCACCATGTCGTATATAACTTTAATCATGAGACTACAGCTCGGACAGACGCCCACATCTTCCCCTTCTCTCAGGTCGCCGATGGAGATCTCGAAGCGGTCGCCGCAGGGGCATGGGTAGTGGTAGATTTGCAGCGTTTCGTCGTATGTCATGTCTTCGATTTCGATCTCGTCGTAGAAGGAGTCGGCCATGGCTACGGTCCTGGATATCTTCGCGCACCGGGGAAGTGGCTGTGTCTGTTATGGGTGAGCGGAAAGTAAGTAAGGGAAATGGGATCTGGGATAAATTTTGGCAACGATGCGCGCCGGTGGCGGAAATAAGCCGGTGTTTGCGGGGAGGGGTTGAAAGCCTCAGGCATCACAGCATTGTATTATATGAAGTTTGAATCTCAACCGAATCTTTTTGACCACTATCGTCCTATATGTACAAAGTGCTCTTGCACAGAAACAAAATTGTACGAAATGCCTTAGTCATCGCCATCGGCATAACTAACAGCAGCCTTATTAGCCCTCACACTTCTCCGCTTTGGCGCAGTAGCTGTTCCTTTCCCCTTTGCTCGGCTGCTAGCTGGCTCGTCTTCAGCACTCAGGTCGCTTGGAGGCTCTGAGACAACGTCTTCCGCATCAGATGTGGACGGCGTTATGATTGCTTTAGTAACACTCTTCTTTGGCGCAGTTTTCTTTGTGGCAGCCTTGTTGGAAGTAGCAGACTTCTTCGACTTCACTGGTGTCTCCGTAGGAAGTTCCTCATCTTTCATTGAGGTTGAAGCTGCCATAGCTGTTGTTGTTGTTGCTCTACGCTTCTTAGCAGCCGGAGTCTCATCGGGCTCTTTCTTTTTCACTTCGCGCTTCTTGGGACGTAGCCACTCTTCCATACCTGGCGGCCAATAGACGCGACCTTCAGGACCGCCCATTCCTACTTCATGCTCGGGGATAGGGATGCGAGGTGCTGGTTCCTCTTCTTCAGCGTCGTCTACATCTTCCTCGGCAGTGCTATCCTTCTTTTTCCTCTTAGGCGTTTTCTTCTTCTTAGGAGCACGTACTGGCTTGTTGTCGTCGTTACGTACATGGGGAATGATATCATTGAACGTCTCGTAGCCAGGGAGCTTGAACGTGCGCATGAGCTCAAACACGGCTTGTTCCTTGTCTTTGGCCTCGATCATCAAGTCCATATCATGTGGGCAAGGGGGCATGGTCATCACCCTTGGCGAGTGCTTCCGTCTTTGCCTCTTCGTGATAGCTGCTGGTGTGGGCTCTGAGTAGTGCATTTTCTGTGTGATACCCTTGCGCTTCCATGTTTCTGTAATTGCCGGGTACAGATCAATAATGTCTTGGGTACCTTCCCGAAGCTTAGTTTCATCAAAGATGATGTTGTGATGATGGTAGTCTAGGACTAGCGGGATGTTCAACTCTTGACATACTGGAAGCAAGTCATGGACGGACCAAATAACGTCGTCGTTCTCCAATACCAAGCGATTTTTGACGCTTTGTGACAGCTTCGCATAGTTCTCGCGGAAGCGATCTAAGGTTGCAGCTTTGTCGCCAAACATACCACCCATGTGTAGTATTAGGACTGCGTCCTTGTCCTGTTGAGGTGGCAGGTTCAACAAAGTAAGAAGTTCATCATGAAATTCGAGATCCCGGAAGGAGCCATCAATAACAGACTTGCGTGGACTTCCCAGCTGTGTGAATTGTCCAGGATGCATGGTCACTCTGTGACCCAACTCAGCTATGACTTTACCGGCCTCTGCCAGAGTCTCGGACGCAAATGGTGCAAGCTTATATCCATACTCTTCATGAGAGGCGAAAGGGAACATTTCGGAACTCAAGCGCATGAATCTGATTCCGTAGCGGTCGTTCCATCGCACCATCTTGATGATGTCTCTAGCATTCGCAAGGCCGATGTCTTCAACATACTTCTGACCTCGCCTGAGGTCAGCAGGTAGATCTTTATTGGGCCGGTTTTTGGTAGCATGTTCAGGTTGCGTTGGATCAACTAGAGGGTGTCTGTGCTCCAAAATTGAGGCAATGCGGCAGGTACGAGAACAGAAGACTGGAGGATTTGAGTACCGTAGGTAGGTGTTCAAACAAGCCTGTGATCATTGATTAGGTGCATATTTGGGACCAAGACAAGGGACTTACGAATCCTAACCGACCTTTCCAAGGTAATGGCAATACAGAGCTATTCACAGGCGGAGGTCGTGTGAGAGCTTCCTGTAGCTCTTCCTCGTCTGCCTCCTCGAGCGCATCATCTTCTGGGTCGACGTTCGGCGTCGCAGGCTCTTTCTTTACGGCATTATTGATGTTCTGCGAAGAATGACTGTTCTTCGTGGGATCTATAACTGTTTTCTTGGGCTTAGATGCTTTCTTTGGCTTCTTAGCGACCGCTTCTTCAGTACTCTCGGCGAGTGACGACAGCTCGGACATAGGCGTCTCTTCGCGCTTCACTCGTTTAGGGGCAACATTGCGATTGACTTCGTTATCAGGAGAGGCACGAAGTGCGTTTGGTCCATCCACTATCTCTCTGTTCTCATCAGGATTGAACAGGGATTTGTTAGTGGCACTCCGCCGAGAAGATCGCCGCGAGAGCGTGGGTTCCGTCGTGTCATTTTTTGGAGGCGGTATTGGTGTTCGGGAGACGCGTGCTTGATTGACGCCGTTCGGCAGTGGTATCGCAGTAGTACTGCCAGCACCAACTTCGATGCCAGCTGCGGAAGAACGTTTTCGTTTTGCCATAATGATTGTTGTATGACGAGCTCGGAAACTTGCTCTAGTAAAAGACCGAAGCATAGAAATCTAAGAAGCAAAAGACACAAGCTGCGAGGAGAGTATATTGCTTGGAAATAGCGAACCGCACTGCATTAAGCCAATGACTTAAAAGGAGATTGGAGGTCTATGCTTGGGGAATATGACGAACTCGATCAAGCTACAAAACGGAAAGGTTGTATTATGGATGAGCACGCGGGTGAATCTTGCGGATCAAACAGATCTGTCGAGTAATGCTCATCGCTACGCCCACTAGAAACGCGTGACGTCAATGAATCTTCTTTTCGGGCTGGGCAGCGGGCGAGCAGCGCGTTCTGGCACCAGGTGGGCTAGAGACTGGTCAACCTTTCATACAACATCTGACAACAGGTTGCATATCATAGCTTGTAGTCTATAGTCGGGAGAACTACCCGAATGCCTCATCTGGACTTGGGAGTTGTAGAATTCCTTCACTGGAACTGGTCCAAAACCCAAACGAGTCAGAAGATCACGTTCCAGGTTCTGCGTCGGCCGTGTTCTGCTGAGTAATACAGAAGGTGCATTGAAATTACATCACCGCCCGAGGTGTTCACCCTCGACAATAGGATAGACCAAAACTCGTGCCTTCATTTCTGAACTCCGCTTGAGCGCATCAGGTCGATCTACATCCGAGCGTACGACTATGGCCTCCAGATCTGTTCCGCGACACGCTCTGCAATGTCTTTACAAGCGACCGTTGACTTCTGCAGCGGAGGCTCCGAAGCGCATATTATCGACTCAGGCTTCAGCACGATGTCTACATGCCTCCGCAAGAACGTCGCCTCTCGGACCCTCGCAATACCGGCCTTCAATTCCACAGAGACCTATCGCCAAAAACAGTCTACAGTCCCGACGAACGATATTCATACAGACTGAGACCACTCCGAATGAAGACGTAAGTTTGAATATAGAATGTTGCATCAAAGCTAACATCTTTAGGCTCTAAAATTCAATCCGAACACGCGGGTACTACCAGAGACAATCAGCTCAGGATTCCTTGAATACCTAAATCCTCGATCCACGCTTGCGCCTCCTCACCCTTCCCCACTCGCCGCAAAACTTATGGCAGTCGATGGCGTAACATCGGTATTCTTTGGTGTAGACTACATAACTGTTACAAAAGACAGCGCAACGCCATGGGCACACGTGAAACCAGAAGTGTTCAGTATTATCAATGAATTTGTTCTCTCTGGCCAGCCAATGGTTAAATCAGTCGAAGATAAAGCCGGAGAACAAGGACAAGAGTCTTCGGAACAAGATAGCCTCGCATACAATGAGAATGATAGCGAGACTGTTAGCATGATCAAGGAACTCTTGGATACTAGGATCAGGCCTGCGATCCAAGAAGATGGGGGCGATCTTGAATTCCGGGGCTTTGTTAACGGGCAGGTCTTGCTGAAGCTTGTAGGGGCTTGTCGCACGTGTGACTCAAGTACAGTCACGTTGAGAAATGGCATTGAAGGAATGCTGATGCACTACATTGACCAAGTGCAGGGCGTTCAGCAGGTTATGGACCAAGAGGAAGAAATCGCAATGCGGGAGTTTGCAAAGTTTGAAGAAAAACTGAAGGAGACAAAAGGCGCGGCAGCCATCGCAGCAAGTCCCCTGGATGCCGCCCCTTGAGCTTACTGAGGCGCTGGAGGTATGTCCGGACAGATGTCTGGTGACACGTCCTTGTATATTTCACTCTGATACATGTTCCGCCTGTAAAATAGCTTCGAAGCGATGTGCCTGGAAGAATGATTGTGTGTATACACTTTGAGCCAACTTTGTCTACTGTATAGGATATAAATACCACACTGGCATTCCATTAATTGCTATGGTTGACATGAGTCGAGAGCAGCAAACCCGCCTGAACGCCACCACCCCATAGCCATAGACGGGAGTATGTTGGTGCAAGGTACGCACGGCCTGAGATAGTGGTGAGTGGTCGATTTGCTGCGGCGCGGGCGGTGAGATCAGGCCATCAGGCGCCCAGATACGCCAACCGTGGGCGGCCACCATGCCTTTTTCGCAAAAACGAATCCAAATTCCCGAGGACCATGAGACATGACCGTCACCGCCGATCGTCTCGAGCTTCTTATAGGTAAGGTTATATCAATAGTTTACCAGTTCAAGGCAAAGCCAAAAAAAACCCATCTCCGAAGCTCCTATGGCTTTGACATTCTCTAGATAAAGGTCATAATGTCTTTAGCTTGCAAATTGACGCACTTTCAAGGTTGACGCCGCCGCCTGCAGCTGCCGTCCCATTTTTCTGTTGAGCCGATTGCTGATCAGCCCTTTCTGTCCCTCTGCGTTATCGTGAAGACAAAACCCACCCCTCCACTTACTCTCACTCTCCACTCTCCACTCCGCCCCAGATCCTCTCTCTACTCGTCAATATCCTACTCAATCACTCGTCATTCACTCCTACGCCAACAACCCACCCTACCTAACGGCCTTGCATATCCTTTTACATTGCTTCCTGCATCCCATCACCATTGTCCAATTCCCAGCAAGTGGCACGTCATTTGCGTCATCGTCTCAATTGATCCCATCTAGAGAGCAGGTCTCACTAGTTTTTGAGCATCATGGTCCTTCTCGACGGCCAAGAGGTCATCACTGAGGAAGAAAAGCGGTTGAGAGCAGACACAGACCGCAAGCAGTACTGGAAGAAATGGGGCCCGTACACCGCCGAGAGGCAATGGGCTACCGGTATGTGAAGTCGCACCCTCCGCCTCTGTTCAATTGCTAATAAAGCTCAAGTTCGGGAGGATTACTCGTGCGTTAATTGATTCTTCCGAGGAAAGAGAGAGACTCTGCTAATCTGCAGCATCCAGTCACGATGGAGATGCCTGGAGTCGTACGTTGAGAACCGTCAATGGGCACCTTCGTTGAAGCTAACTAGCCCTATAGACTTTACTCATGACATGGCGCGCTCGAGGGCGTTCAGGTGGGGTGAGGACGGTATCGCCGGTATCTCCGATACGCATGGATTTCAGCACATTGCATTTGCGTTCTGGAATGAAAAAGAGTAGGTCGCCGCATGTTTGGCTGTCGCAGCATCTGTCTGACTTGAACTAGTGACTTCTTGAAAGAACGCCTCTTCGGCTTGTCCAATCCCCAGGGTAATCATGGAGAATCAATCAAAGAAGCTCACTTCCACCTTGACAATGTCCCTACCGTGAGTCGCACTCTCCTGGGATAGTCAATTGGCGCTGACCAAAATAACAGCACTCATACATGAAATTCCTGTACAAATATCCCCAGCGCAAGTTTCCCTACGAAGACATTATCAAAACCAATGCCGCAAGGACGCGCGAAGAAGATGAATACAACCTCATAGACACCGGCGTATTCGACGATGATCGATACTGGGACATTTTCATCGAAACAGCAAAGGAGGCGGATAATCCTGAGGAGATTCTGTGTCGTGTCACGGCCTACAACAGGGGTCCTGAGCCGGCGCCTCTCCACATCGTCCCGCACGTTTGGTTCCGAAACACGTGGGCATGGGGACACGAGAAACCAGACCAGAAACCGTGGATTCGCCAAGTAGGCCCCATTACGGCTCAGTCAAAACACCACAAGCTCGGTGAGCGGTTCTGGCAGCTTTCGCCCTCCCCGGGTATCGGGGCCAGTGGTGTGGATGTGGAGCCAAAGCTCCTATTCACGGACAACGATACCAATTTCAAGGGTCTTTATGGTGGAACAAACAAGACACCTTACGTCAAAGATGCATTCCATCGTTATATCGTGGACGAGGAGACCAACGCTGTGAACCCGAAGTGTACTGGAACCAAGGCCGCAGCATGGTATGCTTTTGATGAAGGGGACGGCGTACCGCCCGGAGAATGTGCTGTCGTACGTTTTAGGTTATCAAAGGATTACGAAGGTTACTTGGACGAAGAGCTATTCGATGACATCATGGAACAGCGAAGAGAGGAGGCCGACGAGTTCTACACGCGTCTCAGCCCTATGCCGATGAGCGACGACATTCGGAATGTCCAGCGTCAAGCCTTGTCAGGTATGCTCTGGTGTAAGCAGCACTATCACTTCATCTGGGATCAATGGGCGAATGGTGATCCTAACATGCCACCGCCGCCTCCTGAACGGAAATCCGTTCGGAACGCACAATGGAAACACATGCATCTAGACGATATTCTGTCCATGCCAGACTCATGGGAGTATCCCTTCTTTGCCGCGTGGGACAGTGCTTTTCATTGCATACCACTGGCCATGATCGATCCTGACTTCGCCAAGAAGCAGCTAGACATATTCACAAGAGAATGGTACATGCATCCCAACGGACAATTACCAGCCTACGAATGGAACTTTGGAGACGTCAATCCTCCGGTGCACGCATGGGCTACGTTCAGAACCTTCAAGATTGAGCGCAAGATGTATGGCCGCGAGGACTTAGATTTCCTCGAGCGCGTATTCCACAAGCTACTGCTAAATTTTACATGGTGGGTCAATCGCAAGGACCTCCACGGTCATAACGTTTTCGAGGGCGGCTTTCTAGGTATGGACAATATCGGTCTTTTCAATCGATCTGATCCTCTACCTACGGGTGGTACACTGGAACAGGCCGATGGTACTGCTTGGATGGCTTTCTTCTGCCTGAGCATGCTCAACATCAGCTTCGAGCTAGCCAAGCACCGCCGAATCTATGAAGACACAGCCTCAAAATTCTTTGAACACTATATGCTCATTGCCGAGGCTATGAAGTTCAGAGTCGGAGGGGAGTCCAAGAGTCTTTGGAACGAAGAAGATGGGTTCTACTACGATGTCATCTCGTGGGGAGGGCCCTGGTCTCATCAAATGCCAGTGAAATCGATGGTAGGCCTCCTGCCGCTCATCGCTACGATAACTCTCGAGCCAGAGGTCATCAACAAGCTGCCTTCATTTAAGAAGCGCATGAACTGGTTTATCGAGAATAAGAACGACCTTGCTGAGCGTAATATTGCCAGTATGACGAAACGTGGCAAAGGCGACAGAATGCTTCTCTCACTCGTGAACGAGGACAGGCTTCGCAAGATTCTGAATTACATGCTGGACGAAAACCACTTCTTGTCCGAGCACGGCATCCGATCGCTCTCAAAGTACCACAAGGATCACCCTTACTCGATGGAGGTCAACGGACAGAAGTATCAGGTCAGCTATGTACCTGGAGATTCCGACAGCGGTCTCTTTGGAGGTAACAGTAACTGGCGAGGTCCGATCTGGTGTGCGACCAATTTCCTCTTGATTGAATCACTCCAGCGATTCTACATGTTCTATGGCGACAATTTCAAGGTCGAATGCCCCACAGGATCTGGAGACGAGATGCATCTCGGACATGTTGCGGAAGAGCTTCAACACCGTCTGCAACATCTCTTTGCTCGAAATGATGAAGGGACACGGGCAGTCAACAATGGAAATCAAATGCTTGACTTTGATCCTAACTGGAAAGACTACATATGGTTCTATGAGTTCTTTGATGGAGACTCTGGACGTGGACTGGGCGCATCTCATCAGACTGGATGGACGGGTTTAGTTGCGAAGATGATCCACGATACTGGGTAAGATGATGCGGAGTAGAGTGATCTGGGACCTAGTACTGACAAGAAGACTAGTGTGACTTGCCGACTGCCACAGACACCAAGAACCCCAAGCGCTGCCGCATCGCACTACTTTGATGACGTTTTCAGTCGCAAACGCCCTGGTAAACCTACGCTTCGCCGCTCGTCGACGACTAGATCGATTGGAGTACGAAGTGATTGGGACGAGAATGACGATGACGAGATGGGCTCACCTATCAGCACTCGATCATTCAACCGCAAGAACTCGATTGGAGTTCTCGATGACGAAGCGCTGAGGAGGAAGGCAGAAGTTGATGAGCACATTGCCAATTATGTGTCGGATCAATTGGAGCGACTGAAGCATGGTTCGACGGCAGACAATGACGAGGACGAGTTTGAAGCAAAGTACGATGGTGTAGACGAAGGTCAGAGGAATGGGGTGAATGGCAAGTAGAGTGTGGAGTGAGCGACTGCGCTCATATGCCGACACACGCCCCTCAGCAAAGTTATGCGAAACCTCCCTATAGAAGCGACATGGATAGATACTGTTCATAGAAGTAGATGCTAGAGACCTGAGAAGCTGAAGACTATAAGAATAACACTACGTCATACTCCCACATCGAAATAAAGTTTAAAGACCAAGACCAAGGAGCACGTTAGCTGTATCGGAAGTCATGTAAATTTTGAGATTTTCGGGAATTATGTAGTTGCTGCCCAGACAGTGACGTTGCGGGCGCTTAGTCATTGTTTACCTGGACCGTGACTAGCGCAAACAAACGGAGCGATCTGGTAACCCCATGCCGGGCGTATGATATGATTGAAGCGACGTCCAACCTGCGCCAGGTGGATATTGAAGTTGCACGCAAATCGCCATTGCATACCTATCAGTTGAGCTGTTTTTGAGACATAGCTCGTCCTTTACGTGGTACGCATTCCAGGCGTGCATTCTTGCGAGCTTGCCCAATGTTACGTTGCCCAGCTAATGAGAGCGGAATGCAGAGTAGCCAGACATTTCCGAAGAAGGCTATAAAACGACGCGACTCGAAGACTTGCTTCAAGATGGCGGCTTTCATAACTACCATGTTTGTCCTCCCACCTTCCTCGAACCTTTCTCTTCCCGGTCAACTTGAGCCTCTTTCGTCCATCCCACCATCGATGCTAGCGGGTGTTGCAGCTTGGCCACATGAGAATAGTGGTCGGGAGGCCTCGCATGGATATAAGCGTACAATAGGCGAGCCTGAAAGCTTCTGTCGGAGCTCTTTTCCGCAGTCATGTTCTAGTGACTGGGAAGGCGGATCGACCCTCGACGGCGTGATGGAGCTTCATGATCGGTTGAAAAGCATGATGATAGATACGGAGCATGCTCTTGAGCTTTTTGAAACTGAATTGGTAGAACAACTGAGCTTACGATGTGGTCAACGCAGAAATTCCCGAACGCGAGCGCCGTTCAAGCCGAACAAGAGCGGACGAGGCACGAGCTCATGGCAGCTAAAACAATTCGCTGAAGCGACGTTGGGCAGTGGCAGTCTCAGAAAAGCGGTAAAACTGCCAGAAGGAGAAGACTTCAATGAATGGTTAGCTGTCAATGGTACTATATCTGACCATTTTGGAGTCGGGAGTCATGCTAAGCAAAGATGCAGTCGTGGATTTCTACAATCAGATCAATCTCTTGTACGGATCTATTACCGAGTTTTGCTCGCCGCAAAGCTGCCCTGAGATGAAGGCGACGGACGAGTAGGCATTGCTGTCATGCCATGATTAATTGAGTGCTAAGGGGTGTGTAGATTCGAGTATCTCTGGCAAGACAACGAGAACTTCAAGCGACCGACAAAGATGACGGCACCAGAGTATGTGGAGCACCTCATGGCATGGATCCAGAGTAATATCGACAACGAACAAATGTTTCCAAGCAGAATCGGTGAGTGTTTGTCCAACTGGGCGCGCGATGCATAGGCTGATGTAGAGCAGGTGTCGCTTTTCCGAAGGCATTCCCTTCATTGCTCCGGCAAATATTCAAGAGGCTGTATCGGGTTTATGCGCACATCTATTGCCATCACTATCCAGTGGTGGTCCAACTTGGGCTGGAGCCTCATCTGAACACGTCCTTCAAGCACTACGTCCTCTTCATCGACGAGCACAATCTGTCGAGTGGAAGTAAAGACTACTGGGGCCCGCTCGGAGACCTTGTAGAGAGCATGCTGAAGAGCGACTAAAGAATCGGTGTGGCTGAGATGGCATGTACGACAGCTTGACAAGAGCATGGATGGTTAGGCGTTTCTCCAGGAGCATTAGTGGATGGGCAGGGGGTGGGGCAAACACACGACTGATGAGCTACGGCTGGCAGCAGCAGCAGGGGTCACGACGGCGTGGTAAATTAATGTACATTATTCGTGGGTATTATTACTGCAAATCATTATAAGCGACTTTGTTTCAGGGGCATGAGAGATTGGGGGACACATTCATGTGTATCTATGCTCGAGTCAGGCACGAAGAAACCAAGCAGAGAGAGAGAAAGTAGAGGTAATCGGTGATGATCCTTCGTTATCATATCATGTCTGGGAAGGGCGGCTCGTAGTTGCAGCGGCGAGTTGTATCAGCATGCGGCGTTGGCGTTGCGTGTCTCTTGGGTAGTATAGGTAGATATGGGGGTTTGGGATGTTGATGTTATTATTGATGATGATGATGGAGTTTGATTGATTGCGGCACGGGTGAGGTCAGGTATTACTAGGTAATTATAGGTAGGGTGACAGTCCTGTTAGGGTAATTGGTGCAAGTGCAAGCTTGAAGGGTAAGGAACAGCAGGGGCAGCGTATAATCAGTCATGAGATGCGCAGATGGGACGTGGAGGTACTGACACTAAGTATGTCTGACAGTTTGACAGGCGGGTCAGCCGGGGAAATAGGTGGGTCAAGTGTGAGGAAAGGGTGGGGAGGGGCCGTCGCTAGAGTCGCCCCCAAGATCCGCCCAAGACCCCCCTAAGAGCCCCCCCAAGATACTCCCAAGACGCCCCCAAGATGCCCCAAAAATTGCTGCATCCTTCCCCCAAAAAGACACAAACGGCGCCCCATTGCCCCCCCTAAGCAGACCCCCCCCCTCCTTTCTAGCACTCGCTGCCGTCAAACTAATTACCGGCACTAGTAGGTAACCTCAGCACTAAAACGGATAAGTCAGCAACATTTTTACTCTATCCCCCTTCTAGCAGGAGGTACAACAGTAAAGAACAGCCACACACAATTCACTCACTACGGCTGTCTGACCTCTCTTGTTGACTCTCTCTGCCCTCTCCGCCTCTCTTGTCTTTCTGTCTCTGCCTCTCTGCATTCAACACAATCAATCACTCGCTATTAGCCTTATCTACCCCCGGCCTGGACCCTGCCTGCACACCCAATCCTAGTCATGCTTCCGAACCGCGTCTGCGTCTCCCTCGCCGTCTTGGACTACTCCCCCGCCCAATATCTATTTCATCCCTCCCGTCCACGCGACTGGTCTTCTCAATTTCCATTTCTCCTCTCCTTTAACATCTCTCCTTGAAAGTCGCCATTTCGGTCGCGTCGCCGTCGCCATGTCCGAATACATTGGCCATAACAAGGACCACCATGTCGACGAGACCAAGCTCTCACACGACCACTCGCCCCACCCCCATAGCTCCGATCTCGAGAATGGCGACGTCAAGTCTGCTCCGCTGGCCCGCAGCCTCAAGGGACGACACATGCAAATGATTGCCATTGGTATGCCATACGCCTCGACAAAGTTCCGCTGAGCACAAAACATCCTAACTTTTTGGTCTCCATAGGCGGTGCTATTGGCGCTGGTCTCTTCGTTGGTTCGGGAAGTGCTCTACATTCCGGTGGGCCAGCAAGCTTGGTATGCTCCACACCCATTGCTTGTCCTGTCTTGTCATGTCTTGTCTCAGGCTAATCATGATTCCGCCTTCTTCTAGCTCCTTGGCTACATCATCACTGGAATAATGCTTCTGTTGACAGTCCAGGCCCTTGGGGAGATGGCCGTCCTCTATCCTGTCAACGGCGCTTTCTTCAACTACATTGTCCGTTTCGTGGATCCGTCGTGGGGCTTTGCCGTCGGCTGGGATTACGCCCTCAACTGGGTAATACGACATGACCCCTGTCTCACCCGTTACTGTGCCCATTTGCTAATTACACATCCTACAGCTTATCATCCTACCGTTTGAAATCACCGCTGCCGGTCTCACAATAAAGTACTGGGGTGAATACAACATCGGCATCTGGATCGCCGTCTTTTTGGCGATCCTTACGGCCGTCCAGTTTTTTGGTGTGCGCGGATACGGCGAGGGTATGTAAAGATTCCTACTCGCAATTCATCCACCCCAGCCCCTGCTTACACGCCTGCAGTCGAATTTGTCCTGGCCATTATCAAGATTGCTGCTTGCGCTGGCTTCATCATCCTTGGCATTATCATAAATTGCGGTGGCGTCCCGGGTGACAACCGCGGTTACATTGGTGCACGGTACTGGCATGACGGTCGTGCCTTCCAAAACAGTTTCAAGGGCTTCTGCTCCGTCTTCGTCACTGCCGCTTTTGCCTTTTCCGGAACCGAATTGACCGGTCTCGCCGCTGCCGAAGCTGCGAACCCGCGCAAGTCTCTCCCAAAGGCTTGTCGCCAGGTGTTTTGGCGCATTGCCTTCTTCTACGTACTCAACATCTTCATCCTCGGCCTGATTGTCGACTCGAACTCGGACTACCTCCTCAACTCGTCTGGTGCTGGCAACACACAGTTCTCCCCCTTCATTGTCGCCATCAAGGACGCTGGCATCAAGGTCCTGCCATCCATCTTCAACGCCGTCATCACCATTGCCGTCATCAGTGTGGCCAACTCTGCCACGTATGGCTCCACCCGCACCATCCAGGCCCTCGCCGTCAAGGGCATGGCGCCCAAGCAGCTTGCCTATGTCGACAAGAAGGGACGCCCGGTTCCCGTCATTATCCTTCAGCTCATCTTCGGTCTCCTCGCTTTCGTGAACGAAGCTCCCGAAGTCGGCAACCAATTCTTCAACTGGCTCCTCGCCCTAGCCGGCTTGTCCAACTTCTTCATATGGGGCTCCATCTGCCTCGCACACATCCGCTTCCGCATGGCTTGGACCTACCAAGGCCGCACCCTGTCAGAGATTCCCTACAAGGCCTATTTTGGCATTCCCGGCTCCGCCGTCGGCCTCTTCCTCAACTTCATGTGCCTCGTCTTTCAATTCTACGTCGCCCTGTTCCCGATCGGCGGCGATCCTCCGGACGCCGAGGCCTTCTTTGGTGCCTATCTTGCCGCTCCCATCACCCTCGCCCTCTTCGTCGGCTGGAAGGCCTACACCGTCTTCACGAATAATCTGTACCATCGCCAGCAGACCTGGCGGCCGTACGTCTTGCTTTCAGAAATGAATCTTCACGAGGGCATGCGTGATATTGCGCTCGACACCGACGACCATGTTGTCGAAAAGGGCCATCGCACTATCGGTCAGAAGATTCTCGGCGCGCCAAAGTCTCTTCTCCGCGCCTTTTTCTGAGAGCGCAGCGAATGAAACGGACACATGGCCCTCCCTTTTCAAGGCATCCTTTTCGGACAATTTTTTTTTGGTATTTGGCAATAGTTCTATTAAGTTGCTTGAAGACGCGTTGTATACCACGTGGGTTTTGCTTAGTGGCGTTCAAATGTATGTTAAGAGATTCCTCCCTGCCCTCCCCCGTCGCCCGGCGCCGGTCTCGGAAACTAGATATATGCATGAACCAGACACTACACAACTGCTGCAATACAACTTTGTCGTCTCAGGGAGAATCTGTTTGTTATTCGTGCTAATAGACTGATTATACGATACTGCACTACAGTAGTCTACACATAGACAACAACGACAAAGTCTACAACAATGGAGCGAGATTGAGGGGGCCAATTGAATCTATTTCTAGGGGCTCTCCAATTCCCGACAATTTTTATTTTTATTTTTATTTTTATTTTTATTTTTATTTTTATTTTTATTTTTATTTTTATTTTTATTTTTATTTTTATTTTTATTTTTATTTT